CATAATATCTTATTTAAGTTAATATGCTAGGAATCCCATACAATTGTTGATGAAGCAGTCAAACGCTTCTTACAAATCCAAAAAACTAACCTGCCTTTATTCTAACTTAATATCAAAATCTCGATCTATTAATGAAAATTCGATCCATTTACCGTAATTGACACTATATTATAAAGCCTAGAATACCTAACAGTGCCTAAATACCAAAAAAAATTAATAGCTACTGAAGAAGCGACTCGAATCCCTAATTTCATTAGGCGTCATCTTCAACTTAAAATATTCGCTTTTATTTTTAATTGGTATTTGAGTGTGACCTGTTCGTCATTTTCGAAAGTGGCTATAAAAGATAGACTGGTAATTGTAACAGGCGTTTATAGTGAATTTACATCGCTTTCGCCACGACTAATTGTGAACCTCGATATTGAGGAATGTCTTGAAATATACCTTTCTTTTCATTATTCTTACGTTTTGTTTCGATGTAAATTGAATAGTAGTTGTTTAATACCACGTATGGTGGGACTTTTGTTGATATAGTAGTAGTAGTAGTTATTAAAAAGATATAAGGAAAGAAATCGAGATGTTAATTATGACATATTGTAGATCCTACGTAACTTATTCGGGGATAAAACAGGCATGATACTAAATATAATTTAAAGCTCTAGTATTTTTAGTAGTCACAAACACCTTTATAATCTCCATCTAAAATCTAATTCACCCTCGCATTATTCAAAAAACTCGACGGAAGATTAAAAGCAGTTAAAATCTTTTCTAAATCACTATGCAAATGAAGGTGGATGGAACAAAAGACTGAAAGTACTGAGTATTTTTTAACCTGGCCGAGTTTCCCGTAACGAGATGCCTCTGGCAAACAGCGGGGTCTAACAAAGTGATGCTTGCGTGAAGAAAATAAAAGACATATTCGTGACCTGTCCTGTTTTAGCAAAGCACATGTTCTATACCAGGTCTTTCAAAGGTATTTTTTAATTTGCATTACTTTTGAAAGGGATATGTCGGTTTCTGTGTATCTCATGTTCAGATATTAGTGTAGATTTCAGTCAATGATAGGAATAACTACTTTTAGCATCTGTAGTTCTATTCTGTTTGGAACATATCTCACGATTAGCGAGCACCGAGCTTACAGTCATCATACAAATGACTACACCAATGATCAATTGACTAAGATTTGCTATTTCTAAGACTCCTCCATTTCTAAGACTTCAATTTTCTCACTCGACATTTGTTTTGCTCTTCCACGGAGCTTCTACGGGAGCCACCATCGAGTGTGGTTTGTTGAGTGTCGTTTGTGTGTTTTGTGTTTTGTGTTGCATCTCTGCTGCATGAGCATTTATCTATGGGTAGGAAGAGCGGTGCTGCGTACTGTATGCTGCAAATTCATTCCTTCAGCGGAACAAAATCGAAATATTTTCCCAAATGTTACTGTTGCATAGATTTCCGCAAAGTAACGTCTGAATATTCTATATACTATACATGTCCTGTCTGCCTAATACTACATATCTCCCAAGAGCCCAAAGTGGTCCGTTCTTGTTCCAAGTTCAGCTTAATCTTATAAACCGCTGACCCAAATACTCTCTATACTGCCATCATACCATGTCGAATTTCCAAGTTAAATTTGGCAAGCTAGTAGAGATTTATGTACATAGTTAACTGAGTTATGTTACCGTAGATAACTGTCATAGTTTAACTACTATGTTCGTCTTAACTGTTCGTAGTTATTTGATAAGTTAAGTGCAGGTTAATTGAATTCTCTGTCAACATGTTATCTTTTACGTGACTGATATGTGATGTTTCAATGAAATATTTTTGACTGTTTGGTATGATCCTTGTTATTTATTTACTGACTGATGACTGCATAGTTGGGTCAATGGCAGACCAGCTTCTTTGTGTGATTCCACAAATTGTTGTTTTAGGTCTGAGGGTGACGTGTATGTGAAATTGTATGTTTGTAAACGCACCCACGACACAGGAGAACATCCTTGTAGCAGCAATTCCGGACGTTTTACGAAGGAGTGCCAGATTTGAATGGGCAAAGTCAAAGCTTCACTAGCGTTATATCAGGCACGGGTGACTGACGTACCACTCTAAGCGTTAATTATGAAGAATGAGTGCTATAAATAATATCTGCACCAGTGCCCATCTCTTAAGTAGTGTTTAAAAGTTCGTTTAATTAAACACCTAATATTTTCTGCTTATAAAACTCAAGTATTATAATGTCAAAGTCAAAGCATTTATTTCAAAGAATCCGTAATAAAACACACTAGAAATGTCTTAAATTGAATTATCCGTCCGTCTGTCTGTCAGTGAAGTTAGGCGCTCTTTCCAAAGTATAGTTTAGAATGGAGAAGCACGAGCAAGAAACTCCATCGTCACTCTTTTAAAAAAGAAATACCAGACTTCTATTAATAATGGGCACTGAAAAAGTCATCTACATCCAAAATCTGTTTAGTATTTTATCAAATAGGTCACGTTACAAACCTAAATAGATCTAATTTAACTATGCCGAAGATAGGTCTTTAAGCATTCGACTCACGTTCGTCCTTATTCGGGCCAGAGCTATATTTTAGCAGCGGATAATTTAATATTGGGAATGATAAATGGATTGTAGTTACTGATTGTAGGTAACTAGGTATTAGGGTATATGATGTAAGGGTACCTTTAATAGAGTGGTTTGTTCATAAGTCATGTGTTGTAGTTCAGTGATTTTATTGATTAAGGCTTTGACTGCCAATTGAAAACTGTTGAAGGCGAATCCTCCGCTAACGTCTCGGTCACCGGTGACCCCCATGGCGTTTAACGTGTTAAGAAGTAATTTTGATCAATACGCCATATTTTGCGTATTAATATCCTTGCAGATATTGTATTTCCTGAAGGCGACAGAGACATTTTATGGAGTTATTATTTAGTAAACCTTTTGTTTTCTTGCCCTTATTAGGGACAGCAAATTATTTATAACTGCAATCACTTTTTCTTTCATATTTCTAAGAAATGCCTGTTTAAAGCCGTTCGATAAATGCTAATTCATTTGCTATTAATGTCATTCGATAAAAATTAATCATTATTATTACTAGCCATTATCATGCTAAGCTAAAAATGCTTACCTAGACTTGTAACATTAAGACTAACTTAAACCAAGTACTTAACTACTTGTTCCCTTGGGATACGAGTAACATGCTTTTACCTTCTAAAGTTACCTTTAAGTAAACAGCTAAGCACTAAGATTTACAATTTATACATTACAATTTATAATAATTATGTACCGTTGACTTTTGAAATTTATATTAAAGGGAGTGTTAGATAAAATGTTTAATTTTATAATAAAACTGTACCATTATCAAGGGATGCTTATAAAATGAATAAAAACTCGATGTTCAAAATCATGCGTTCTATCGAATATCTGTTACACACTTTTTGCCATATTATTTTGATAGAGGAATGTCTATTCTCATACATCAATAGCCAGAATCTGTCAATCAAACACAATCTTCTCGAGAAGCCCAAGTCAAATTGTGGTAGACCTGCTAACGTAAACTGATTAGATTTTTTTTAAGGGAGGAAAATCATCCAATGGCTTCTCCTGCCCGGGTGAGGCGAGAGGGAGTCTCAGACTCTTACTGACTAAAAACCATCTCGTTCCTATTCCTGCTCTTGGAGCCAGAGCCCCGCCAACCCCGCGGAAGTATCGGGTATCAGCCCTATTGGGCCTCCCATCTGTGGTGGTTTGATGGCTCTTTGAGGCTCGCGCAGAACGCGAATCCCCGTACGCACGGGTCTAGTAGACCTGCTAAAGTAACTTGATTAGACCTGGACTCGAGAGTTGAAATACTTCAGAATGAGACAAACACAACGTAATTATGCTGTTCCCAAGTCGACTATGCTAATAAACTGACCTTGATACATAATTAAATATTGACTTTATTATCTAAACAATAGGGTTTGCTTTTATTTCCAATATAACCCATTTTATGTGTACACATTGGTATAAATTGGGGCTACACAAAGAATGGTTATGCCCTTATTACGAATTGTAATGGCAGAGCATATTATTTATAGATAAATGTTATTTATTTCAAGTCTATTCATGTATAATTTTAGGCAGTAAAACCACGATGTTTTTATGATATTATAATATTAGTATCTTGTGGTTGGTATGACAGTCATTCTCTTTTAAGCATACAAGGTTTTTTCTGTCTCCACACTGTTCTCCAATGTCTTTAATGCACTTACAAATACAATTTTTACACACACACATACTCAAACCGTTTCCTACAATTTAAGGATCATTCAAATTCGTCTGAATATGAAGGGAATGGGGAGTGGTAGAATAATAAATCCTCCGTCCTTTACTACTAAAAATTAGTACCAAACGTCAATTACAATACGACTCTGGTCGCACAAAAAAGCGAAGTAAAACAATTGCACATTCCTCATAATGCGAACGGCTCCTATTTCCCAGTACCTATGTTACTCCGTCATTCGTGTGGAGCCCTAGTCGGCGGGGTCATTCACCCCTCGCACCGGCACCGTGGCTACCCGTCCACGGTACCCACGGTAGCTGGGAATTCCTTTATCTTTTGATGCATTATTATCTTTTCAAGGTAGGGGAATACGCAGGTGATAAAGTTTGTAGAGGAATCTGATTGTCGTTGATAATTATCGCGATTTTTAGAACGGTTTGAATTCGTAAGAAGTTGTTGTTTTGCAAATAACTTAATAAATAAAGAAATACGGTTCACCTAGGGTTTGATGTAATCTATTAACAAGGTTATTTATAAACCAGATACAAACCACATTTCAAAACCATTTCTTTTACGCCCAATGACATAAAGGACCTATATTTTGATTGTAAGAGATTGTGTGCTATGTATCGTTATAGAGATAAGCAGTAAAAGAGTTAACCTTCATAAAATCTTTGAAGCTTACCTTTGATGTTTCTCTCTTATGTCTTTACTTGATATTAATGTGTAATTGTTTGGTTTTTGCAGAGTGCGTCGGAGTCGTCGGCGGGAGCGGGCGGCGGGGGCACATCGGGCGGCAGCGCCCGGGTCTCGTCGCGCTCGCGGGCTTCAGAGGAACCACACATTGGTCAGTAGTCCATCAATCTATTCAGTCAACATAAAGACAAGGATACAAGTTAACCCGTTAAAAGGCTTAAAGTAAAAAATATGTTTAAAGGCTTGACGAGTTACCTCAACTGGTTTCAAGCAACACTAGGGGTTTATGTTCGTGACTAACTTTGCGCGACACAATGCGTTAAGCTTGAAAAAATATTCATTTGTTTCAAAAAGGTGTCACTTATTGTATTAGGTGTAGTAAAGAGTACTTTACTACATGATTTTTTGTTGCAAATAATTATATAAGATCGATATGTTAAGGAATAGAAATAATATTAACAATATCAATAAAACTGTCTCCCTAAAACTAACCTTCTTCCATTCTTATAAAGTCCATATTAAATTTCCTCAACACAACACTTGTTTAACAACTTTGTTAAGTTAAAAAGCTTCTTCTAAAGCCTTCGAGAAACTTACCAACTTCAACTTGCAAACATAAAACCTAGAAGAAAATGAAACCAGCTAACTTAGAAAGCTCTAGAACTTTCTAGAAAATAGTAGGTAACTTTCGTTGTGAAGTTGGAGTACGGGGTACTTGTGAAACTGAAGGAAAACAATATCTATAAGCCTCGAACTTTAGTTAGCCCTTCAACTTGTAACGAAGTTGCTTCTGTTTAGTCAAAATTAGTTTTCATAACATCATCACGCCTTTTATCCCCGACGGGGTAGGCAGAGGTGCACACAGAAGTAACACCCACTTTTCACTATTTATGTTATGAGTCCCATGTAATAAGGGGTGAGCCTATTGCCATATACCGGGCACAATTCCAGACTCCGTGCTACTACTGAGATTTTTTTAATACTTTGCCCGACCCGGGAATTGAACCCGAGACCCCTTGGCAGTCGCACTTGCGACCACTCAGTCAACGAGGCAGTCAAAAATAGTTTTACGGACATACATTCAGACAAACATTCTAAAAATCATATTTTTGGCTTCAGTATCGACTATAGATCATAACCCAAGTATTATTTTTTAAAAATATTCAATGTATAGTTTTAACGTATCTACGATTTTATTAGGTACTAGCTTCTGCCCGCGACTTCGTACGCGCAATCCCGATATTTCCCGTTCCCGTTCTTGATTTTCGATAAAAAGTAAAAAAAAAAGAATTGGGTAAAAAGTATCCTATGTCCGTCTCCTGGTTCTAAGCTACCTCTCCACCAATTTTCATCCAAATCGATTTAGCCATTCTTGAGTTATAAATAGTGTAACTAACACGACTTTCTTTTATATATATAGATATGTATAGAAGATAGATTAATTATGTATAATTTTCTTTGTTTCCAGGAAAGTACAAGCTATTAAAGACAATCGGTAAAGGCAACTTCGCTAAGGTGAAGCTAGCGAAACATGTGCCGACCGGCAAGGAGGTCGCCATCAAGATCATTGATAAGACACAACTCAATCCTGGATCACTGCAGAAGCTGTTCAGAGAGGTACACGCATTTTCAATACCTCCTTTTATAATTGTTGAGTTTATACAGATAGACTGACATATTTTGAGAATGTACCAACAGATGATACGAATGTACCGTGGGGTTCTGTTTATCCAATAGAGGATTTCCTATTATCAAACTAGGGATAGTCAATTAGAGTTCCTTGTGCCAACTGCTAAGGAGTGGAATTGTTTGTCGGAGTCTGTGTTTCCTAAGGGGTGTCTTTGAGGCCCGAGTAAATAGGTTATCATCATCTCTTACCACCAGGCTATATAGTGGTCAGTCAAACTTCAACTCACTGCATATTAAAAAAGGTGTCTAACAGTCAATGTTTCACAGCTACCGTTAGCCCTCATGGAGTGAAAGAAATTGGCCGAATATCTACTAATTTAAAGACTATCTCTAATTAGTGAAAGAGGTTAAACGAGTCAAAGCATAAGTTTGTGCTTACATAAAGAATATCATTTTGAGAGTAACCGTTTATGGGGCCGACTGCTAAATATTATTTGATGCGAAACAATCACAATCTAAAATTCTATACTAGACCTTACTTTACTGCACCAATAATGTTCTTACATATCCTAACAACTTTTATCGTTATTTCCAGGTCCGGATAATGAAGATGCTGGACCATCCGAACATAGTGAAGCTGTTCCAGGTCATAGAGACTGAGAAGACGTTGTACCTCGTTATGGAGTACGCGTCAGGAGGCGAGGTATATATCCAATTTTTATTATCATCATCAACAGCATCTAAGAGTCCACAAATCTGATTTCTTTCGTTACCATATCCGAGACAGTTATTCATATCCCTGAAACTTCAGTATTCTGGTATTCTCATGGTTGAATCTCCTGGCTTACAGGAGTTGCAGCGGTTTTGGAAAATTGTGGTAGGCTTGTCCTACAAAACCAAAAATAAAAGTATTCTGTCGACACCATAAATATGTCTTGTGCTTTGTTATAATGTTATGATGACCTGTTCCAGGTGTTCGACTACCTCGTGCTCCACGGGCGCATGAAGGAGAAGGAGGCGCGCGCCAAGTTCCGACAGATCGTCTCCGCCGTACAGTACTGCCATCAGAAGAGGATCATACACAGGGATCTCAAGGTGACACCTTCGATACATATAGTTTCTTGCAAATATACGAAGCAATTCTCTGAACATGAAACTACTCCAAACCACAGTATTATAGATGCGATCTGTTTCGAACGCTATTTATATTGGACTTGTTTTAAGGAACAGCGATATAGTCATCACAACTGTAATTTATTGCGAACACCAATTCAAATGTCGATAAAACTACTCAATGACGGGCTTTGTCTTTTTTTATGGCATAAGCCGGTAAACGAGCAGACGGATCACCTGATGGTAAGCAATCGGTGTCGCCCATGGACACCTGGAACACCAGAGGCGTTACAAGTGCGTAACCGGCCTTTTGGGGATTAGGAGTTTGAGGATCGTTGGGGGTTCAGGAATTGGGGAGATTGGGGAAGGGGAGGGTAATTGGACCACCGTTAACCTCACTCACACGACGAAACACAACGCAAGCGTTGCTTCACGTCGGTTTTCTGTGAGGCCGTGATATCACTCCGGTCGAGCCAGCCCATTGTCTATAGCTAATTATTTGATTTCACAGGTTTCTTGTCACGATCCCCAACGAAAATCAAAATAATCATGTAAGTATATTTCAATAGTTGTCTTCGAACGTTCCAGGCGGAGAATCTCCTGTTGGACGGAGAGATGAATATAAAGATTGCGGACTTTGGTTTCTCCAACGAGTTCACGCCGGGCGCCAAACTGGACACCTTCTGCGGCAGCCCGCCATACGCCGCGCCTGAACTCTTCCAAGGTATACCTTACTTGATTAGTTTGTTTTTCTTTTTTTTAAACGTTGCCCCACACTAGGATTATCTTCTGTGTCGTGGATGCGTTTACAAACATACAAGTTCACATACACATGACACCCAGACCCGAAACAACAATCTGTGGATCACACAAAGAGTTGTTCCGTGCGGGAATCGAACCCGCGACACGTTGCGCGGCAGTCAGTTACCCAACTACCACGCCAACCGTGCAGTCATTTTAGTGATTTTATTGTTACACAATTTTGTCCTTGTATGACTTAAGCGGGGCTAATTACTAAACATGTAGTGATCCACCACATGTTTATCACCTTAACTACAGTAAGAATAAGAATGTATAGTTTATAACTATACAGTAACACCAAGAATAGTGACATTAACTATAATCTCTGTTGTTCTCCGACTTGTAAGTAAAGCTTCTTCTCACACAGAGAAGGACAAAAGTTCTTTAATCCACATTACACTTGTGGAATATCAAAGTCGACAATTACTGCGGAGTGTTATCAATTCGATGTCCATAAATTAACTATTAATGGAAAGGTAAGCATAATCATTAGCTAAAAACAAAATGTAACACATTGTGGTGTAATGTTCCAGGCAAGAAATACGACGGTCCCGAAGTGGACGTGTGGTCGCTGGGCGTGATCCTGTACACGCTGGTGTCGGGCAGCCTGCCCTTCGACGGGTCCACGCTGCGGGAGCTGCGGGAGCGGGTGCTGCGCGGGAAGTATAGGTATACCACACTCCCAACCACTTTAAATCTTACTTCACTTCGGTTCAATAAAATAAACATGACAATTATGACTTCTTGGTACCATTCACGTGTGAATGAAAGGCTTAGAGCCACTTTGTATAGTTCTCTTTGCTTTTTTTATGGCATAAGCCGGTATACGAGCAGTCTGATTGCCTGATGGTAAGCAATCGGCGTCGCCCATGGACACCCGGAACACCAGAGGCGTTACAATTTTGTTTGAGGATCGTTGGGATTCAGGGATTGGGGAGATTGGGAAAAGGGGTTGGTAATTAGGCTTCTAGTAACCTCACTCACACAGCGTCGCTTTTCTGTGAAACAGTGTTATCACTCCGGTCGAGCCAGTCCTTTCGTGCCGAAGCATGGCTCTCCCACAGTGCTACAATTCATTTGGTATCCTTAACCCATTTGGGACCAAATGCAAACTACACATAATTTAATAAAAAAAACTTTATTAACTCAATGATATGACGCCCACAAACTAATATCAGCAAAAAAAATTCAAAAAATATTTTTAGAAGTATTAAAAAAAATGCCGTCCTTGATTGGGGACAATGGGCTCATGTGTAGTACTTTTCGACGTAGTAACTGTTTTCGACACATAAGGTTCTAACGCATTATTTGCATTGATATCACAGTTTTTTTGTGACGAACTGTGTATCGTAACAGATATTAACTAAATCTCTGCGGAAAATGTCTAAATCAATATGATGTGACGCGCCTATATTTTTTTTGAGGGTAAAAATCATGCATTGCGTTTTCCGCCTGGGGGACTCTTACTGGCTAAAAACCAACACGTTCCTAATTCTGCTTCAAGCCGAAGCCCCGGTGACCCACTAGGTTATTCATAGTAGTCGGGCATCTGTCTCACTGAGCCATCTCGATCTAAGGCGGTCTGATCTGCACTTTGAAGCACGCGCGTAAAGCCACGCACCTTACAGCTACAGGTCTGGTTCTGGGCGGCGATCTGTTCTTGCTACTATGACTGCTTCGCAGAAAGAGATGTTTTCCAGTTCCCCTCGCTCCGCACTACACCAGAACCTAAGCTGGACGTGGAAGATTATCGTCGTCGATCACTTCCCTGAAGACACGGCGGTGGTCAACGTATACAGGGCATAATGCTACTCTATCCTCTGGGTGGACTTCGCTGTGACGACACCAGAATACAGATGGAGGAAATGCCCCTACTGCTGAATTCTGATACCGGATGCGACGCCTGGTACTGTAGGTGGACTTTTGCATCTTCGGTCTTGATGCCCATCAGATTTTAGAATATGAACGCGTAAAGATATGTGGGAATTGGTGATGCTCTTCGTGAATTAGCATCTGTTGTCACCAAGTATTAGCTATAACTAAGTTTGGCCTATAGATGACCTTTATAAATTGGAAAACAAAATACAAATCGGGTATAAATGTTTTAAAAATATACTACAGATGTGCCCATTGTCCCCATACGGGGACACCATCATTTTTTCTAACTTTCCCCTAAGCGGAATTGAAAGTATAAGGATATTCTTCAATATTGTTTTAATTGACACTATAAGCAAGCAATAATCACAAAAAAGTTTTATAAATCTTCATAATAACGTACTACAAAACGCCTCTGCTTTCAATAATAATTCCCATTTCACTTCCTCTTGATAAAATTGACAATATGACCCCTTTTTTGTAGCAATTTGTCAAAAGTTCTAATAATTTTAGGAAAGTATACTACTCCTCATTATAAATACCCATGAAATGTGAAGATAGCTAAAATAATTAATGACCAGCGGGTAAAAGAAAACCTGTCCCCATATGGGGACGGCGGGCCCAAATGGGTTAAAGACAGTTTCTCGTGAAATAGAAGCTAGGAATTTAGATTTTCACCGCTTAAATAGTACGAAACGAACACTACCAAAATGTAATGCCAATTTCTTCTCATTCCAGAATACCCTTCTACATGTCAACGGACTGCGAGAATCTTCTAAAGAAGTTCTTAGTCCTGAACCCTGCGAAGCGAGCCTCTTTGGAGAGCATCATGAGGGATAAGTGGATGAACACCGGCTATGATGACGACGAGCTCCGGCCCTACGTGGAGCCTCAGCAGGACTTTAAGGACCATAATCGGATAGGTAAGAATATATTTTACATTATTAGTATTAAAATTCGAATTAAAACTAAATTAGTTGAGTTACGTTTAATATAAAAGTAAGAGATTAATTTATAAACCAGAATTGGTTGTTTATAATTTATATTCATTGATTTTGGACGTTTCAGAACAATGAAATGATGTTTTATTGAAGTCTTTAAAAAGCAATACAAGTATTTTTTATTCGTAGCTATATTGTTTTAATCAGTGTTTTTGATAATTTTGAAAAGACCAGTAAGATATTTACTTGATTCTGTTATTATGGTCTTAGTACAACCGTATAATAAATGTCTAAATTTGCAGTTTAAAAATTTTGAATCTATTCGATCATTAAAATCTTACAAGATCTTAGTTCAAACCAGTGTCAGCCAGATTTTTTGTCTCATTTTTAATAAAAATCAATAAAATAGAAGGGATATTAATATATTCAGTGACATATCAGGATGGCGATTAGCTTTGTTGCTACCGATACTAATATGAATAAAAGATAAAAGGAAATACAGTACCTATATCTATCGTTTAACACGAAGATAGCAATATTACAAAGCTTTATAGTACAAACTAGTATAAGCCCGCTATAAACACTATAACACTTGATTAATAAAGGAATGAATACTAAAAGTGTTTAACAAAAATGATTAACGCTTGAAATTGAATACCTTATGTAAGCTACACAATGAGCTCACAGCATGCTACAGCACATGATTACAGTGTGTGAAATATTGATATCTACTTACTACAAGCATTTTAATAATAATATTTTAAATAATATATTACATGCATAATCACGTCTGTTTTTCCTAATAGGATAGGCAGTAGTGTATTATGTATGATAGATAGTACAAGGTTAATAGAAGGGTATTGATTAAATAACTATTAAATTCTCATAATGACTATCGTGAGACATACTAAATTAAGTAAAAACTCGGGTTACGAGAATATTCTGAGAAAAGCTCTACTAGTGGTCGCGGCGACCGCGCACACTGCTCATGAGGAAGAACCCCTCTGTCGTTCGAAACTAGTAGAGCTTTTCTCTATATATTCACGTGAGTAACCCGCGCTTTTACTTAATTTATTAAAATCCTTTATTAGAGACCTTATGCTGCACCAGTGCTGTTCTTTTTGAAGTTCTAAGTCTATTGGATATATGGAATGACTGGCAGATAATGCTGTCAGCATTTAATCCTCCTTATGCAATTGTATAAAACTTAAATTAATAAAATTTTTTTTTTGTATATATATATTAGATTTCTTTTTCTCCACTGACTCTTGTCCGTGCCTTATTAAATAAATATTGATTTTGCCTTTAGTCTTTTTAAAGCTTGACCTGTTTTTAACTGGTATATTACATTTTTTGATCATTATAAAACAAAATGCTTTGTAATTAGTGAAGTTCTTTAATTCACACACTCTATAGTCGACCATAAAACTGCTTTATAAAGGCAAACATAGCTTACACGTGAAACGATAAAGCTGATTTTTGCTTATCAATATTAATGCAGCATACATTTCATTGCTGAATTGAATACAAGCGACTTCACATGCGATTCTCGACCTTAAAGCACTTTCACAGGTCGGCTATACAAGAGCTAAAATGAGCTACTAACATTCTTCCTAATCTATACTTGATGAGGGCTTAATGAGAGGTACTATTATTTTTACCCACCAGGTGGCAGTAATGTAGATAGCGTGAGATCTGTTCGTCCAGTCTCTGTAGTTGTCGAAAATATAGTATTTAATGGTTTGGCTCTATCTAATTCTATATCGAACAAATCTCACGGTACATTAACGCCATATATCAAACAAAACAACGGTAGCCCTTAACCAAAAAGTTTCGGTTAGCTCAACTGACAGATAGTTGAAAAAAACAATACATGCAATTATCTATCAGTTAGACTAACTGAGACTTAACTAATAGTGGTGGAACAAAGCCTTTATGTGATGATATTACATTATTTATGTATAAAAAACTCACATAACTGTTGGTCGAGGTAATTAAACTGGTTTCAAGCCACGTTGGGGACTCTTAGATATTACAGAACGATACTCAAGCTGAGATCTTTGCTCATGGAAACTTGGAAAGGGATGCATCTATCTGTTAAATGTATTTGCATCCCTTTCTTAACTTGAGAAGAGATCTCGACTAATTTCGAGCTACACTAGGGACGCATAGTCTATCAAAAGGCGTAAAATGAATTCGTACTAAGGCCTCTGATCGGCCAGCTGTAATGAAGCAACCAATGAGAGCGCCCTGTTTCGAATAGCCTCAACAGGCTAGTCTTTTAGACAGTTATGTGAGTTAGACATAAATAATTTAATATATCCCACGAGAGTTATAATACAAAGGAGATATTATATGTTTTATTATTCCATGCGTTCTAACGGCACAGCGCAAATTGGTACGTGATGCATCGGGAATGTGTTATGTGTTCTATTTATATGTTGTTTTTTTCTTATTTTACGTATTTACGTATCTGCTGGATATTTTTGTCTTGTTATATGACTTTTCATTGTGATGCTATTGTCGTAATATTTAAAAATGTGGTAATTACTTATAAGACTTTTAAAGGAAAATAGTTTTTTTTACAATTTCATCTTGCAAGTTGTATTTTATCAATGGTATATTTGTTTAGCGGGGATAACTTCACTTATGTCAAATACCTAAAAGTCATTGTGTCAATGTCAATTTTCATATGAATACTTTGATCCCCGAAGGGATAGGCAGAGGTGCACATTACGGCACTCAATGCCACTGTACAATGTCACACCCACTTTTCACTATTTATATTATGAGGCCCATGTAATACGGTGTGAGCCTATTATACCGGACACATTTCCAGACTTCGTGCTACTACTGGGGTTTTTACAAATTCAATGATACTTATAACCCAGGAATACATATATTTAAAAACGTGTTACAAAGTTATCGCCTGCTTTAATTCAAATAGTGGACAAGTCGTACAAGACAAAAGTATTATTTTATTATTATTTATGCATAATATTTGTATATGCACGCAAGCTTTGTAAGTGTCTCGTGATTCGTCTGTGCTAGAAATATCTTTTTTTAGATTATATTTTTATTTGGCTTAAAATCGTCAAGTGATACTTATATTTAATAATAAATGTGAGATATATGTGTTAGTTTTTTTTTACACTTTAAAACCAAAAACAAATTGAAAAGAGAAATAATTTTATTAGAAAAATTAATAAAGTGAAAATTCCAATAATAATAAAGTGTAGTCTTGTTCTGTGATATAATCAAATTGCATGTTTGTGTCTTAGATATTATTATGTAAAAATATTTTTATATAGATATTCTTAACGTCGCATGTTAAAACATAAAACTAGTCCTTTCCTGTTAATAATTCTAATTCTTGTAAAAAAACTAGATATTTTTAACTTTATAAATATTTTGTCTGTATCTTCTATATTTCTTTTAATTGTTATTATATTTGCAATTTTGAGGCTGTCTCTTGTACACCAAAGTCCATAATTATTGGAAATCTAATTAGAACAGTCTTTACTTTTTTATACATATTGAAACTAAAGTCTATATACCATAACATAACTTTAATCTTTAACACACATCTGCCTATCATTTAAAAAGAAAAAACAGGCGTGATGTTATTTTAACGAATAGTTTAAACGATAATATAAATCTTTTAAACACCTATTTACAAAATAACTTACGAAATAGACATCAATTCAGCTCCAATAAATTTTTTAGGTAAATAAATAAAAACGAATAATGTAAACGAAATTTCTAATTAGTACCGTCCCCTTCCAACAGAGGCGCTGGTGTGCGTGGGCTACAACCGACAAGAGATCGAGTATTCACTCGCCGAAGCGAAGTACGACGATGTTTTCGCCACTTATTTACTACTTGGCAGAAAGAGCACGGACGTGAGTACGAAGGTTATTATTGTACCTCTTAAATCATCGAACGGTGTGTATTTCTTTTGTATACGTTGGCAACCCCTTTGGATTATTTGTTTGTTATTTTTTTAATGTGGTAACACTGTGTTTTTGTTTTACGGCCTACATCATCGAATGGTGTGTTTAAATGTACCTAGAGGTATATTATTATGTAGGTCGTACTTGTTGATTTATTTTTTTTTTAAGTGTGTAACACCGTTTTGTGACGTATTTGTGTCTGTCTGTTTGTGTATGAGTTTTATGATTGTGTAACGTGATGACGTTTTAGTGAAAGTTATATTTTGAATTAGTATAAGACACTGTTAAGGCTTATAAAATATCAACTTTCATCGCCGAAATTATTTGACTGTTAAAAAAAGTAAAAAAATCTGCACCTAATAAAATATATATACTTTGGAACGAGCGCCTAGCTTCACAGACAGACAGACTGTCGGACAATTTAAATCAAAAGTTCCTAATTATGGATTAATTGAAATAAGTGCTTTGACTTTGACTTTGACAAAATGAATAAACATTTTATGTTTGTAAACCGTAGGATTGATGTGCAAACACGTAGTATTGGGTCAAAGAGCGCCTCTTGGAGACCTCTTGTAATTATAGTCATCATCTATATTCTGAATCAGGATTTTGTTACAAAGAGATAATATTTTTCTGATATTTATAACGCTGGTAATGAAATGCTTGGATTTTCATACCTATCAATATTGCCTTATGTTTTTGACTTTGTGAATGTTTCATGTGACGTCCACAAATTATCTGTGTGCTAGTATATCCTTACAAATATTGTTTGTATACTCCTGCAGCCGGAGTCGGACGGCAGCCGGTCTGGTTCGTCCCTGTCGCTGCGCACGGCCGCGGCCGGGGCCCAGCCGCCCGCCAACAACAACTCCGCCGCACACGCAGGTACACTCTATTTATATATCATACCATTTTATAGTAATATGCTAATATGTATCCTAGATAACTTGATTTTAAAACCTTTTCTGAAGATTTTTCAATAATAATAGGAAATCTGTTAAAATTCTGCTATTAAAATTAGGGAGTATATATTGACACGAAAAAATCGCTGATGTTTGTAGGTTCCTGTCGTGTAAATTCGAGGTTAAAATGACATGTTTTGGATCTTGAAATCGAAGGGAAAAAGCTGTGTACATAAGCAATATTTAAAAAAAGAAATATTTGCTTTCCTATAACATTAATAGGCGCTATTTAAATACGCCTTTATAATATTTTACAATGGGACTTATATTTAATTTATTAATGGTAACACAAAAAGTACTATCAGCAAAGTGGAAGGATCACCTACTACCGAAATTAAAATATTAATGTCAAGGGTAAATAAAGCGCTTCATTCAGCTGTATCTGGTTAGTTTAGTAGACCGGAAAGTAAGCTGAAGACGCTTTAAAGCGCTTACACCATACTGATTCAGCTTAGCTTAATTCTAACTGGGTTATATCATTGTCATCATTCTACTGTTTTTAGAGCGCGTCTTTATTTATCATTTGTATTGTCCGAGCATAGATATTTTGACACAAATAAAATTTTACTATGAATTCCAATACAGTTATGCAAAAATTACTATCGATGTTCCTTGTTAATGATCAGTGTCTTAATATATCTGCTCCTATAATAATACATTAGGGTCATTCTGTAATACCTATTGCTTCTTATTATTATTGTGTATCGTGTGCTTTACGTACTGGGAACCGATCACAACCGAGTGTTTTTATATGTCTAGGAATCATTCATATTGGGATTATTCATTAAATCTAACTTGGGATTCATATATGAGTAACATTGTCAATGGAAAATATGCAAATGGGTAACCAATTGTGTACTTAAATCATTGCATAAAAATGGATACTATAAAATTTTATTGACACGTCATAACTACGAACATTATAGATATACTAGTCATTTTAACCAAAAGACAACAATTTCGGTATCACCATTTGGATTACAGGGGTGGGTCAGACGATAGTCTTCTGGTATACTGTTGACATTCAGCTAAATCAGGTTAATATTCAGTGTTTGACACCAAATTGATTGGAATGGGGATAGGAGACAAGAACTGACAGTACCAAATGACTAAATATAACGTGGTCAGTATCTATTGAAAATGTCAATTTACTGTATAATGCTGGATACAGTATCAATATGTTAGATTTATACAAATGGAATAGATTATCCGGGGGTAGAGTGTGAGTAGTTCGGTTGTGATCGCCCCGGGCTGGCTGTAACGGGCGGTGGTGTAGGCGCGGGCGCGGCGGGCGGGTCGCCGGCCCACCGCGGCGTGCAGCGCAGCATCTCCGCGTCCGCGCGCCCCGCCGCCTCGCGCCGCGCCTCCTCCGGCGCTGAGGGGCTGCGCACGCAAGGTACCGCTCACACACTACACAACTCTATTGTCCGACACATCCACCTAACTCTTACACACAGGCCTCAGACAACACAATAGTGTCGATATAAACGCATACATTACTTCAACACATTACTCTAAGTAGTTTGATACAAAAACAAAACAAGAAATACAATATCAGTAAGTAGTTTTGTTCTACAGTCGCTTTTTCAACGTTAAAGGTATTATACAGGCGAGACAATTTAATTTTATATACACAATTGATACAGCTTGATGCCAAAGGTACCAAGTTACAAGCATACGTTAACTTAAAAAGCATAAATCATTACATCATAATTAGAGCTTTTAATTGACCAATATTATTAGTACAACATTATTTACATAAACTTCGAAAAAAAAACAATTTTATAGTAAGGGCAGAAAGAAAAATTTCGCCGATAGTACCTTAACTACATTTGATTTTATACGTATTTAAAATAATATTGTAACATTGAAAAAGTACTGTGAATCTAGTTTAATCGATGTCGCTTATGTTGAGCGTGAAATTATCGTAACTAATTTTCACACATTTTTCTCACTCACAACAAAAAAATTGTCATGAAAAATATTGCCTTGTGTTCTTCTTATTCTGAGAATTTTGTTTAGTTTTTTCATCTTGGCGATGTTTTTCATGATAATGCCAATAAATATCGGTGATTGGGCATTTTTATTGCTAAGTAATCAAATAACATAAGTATTCGCTTTCAAAATTCAAAAGCTAACAAAATCATAATTTGGTACATATTTATATTGTTGTTTTATTGAAATTCAGGAAGAATATTATATGTTTACTCTTGAAATATTACGTGTTTTTGGAACATGAAACACTTATTATAGTTCTATTTACTTTTCTTCATTTATGCCATTATTTAAGTTTATATATCAATTTGGTCCTTAAATATATGATGTATCAAGAATAAATATTATACAACCAAATTCAAATTGCATGTCAAATGGGTGAAATTTAAAACAATCACGATTTGCAAATTACAAAATGACAATTGCACAAACCTTCACCATTTCGCTCGATAGATGTCGTTGTTATAAAGTGTCATTGTATCATTTCATTAATATAATATTGTATTGTAATGTGTTTGTTTGAAATATTATAACGCTTGTATTCCAGTGGGTACGACGACGACGGCAGCGAACAACACCACATCAACGGCTACCACGACAACGTCCAATTTCAAAAGACAGGTAAGAATTGGGATGATGACAGGGTTTGAAAATTAAAAATGTAATTAGTCCGTAAGTTAGGTAATGAAAAAGTATTAGACACGTATTTTTTACGTTGGTGCGGTGGCTGGGCAACTGGCTGCCCCGCAACGTGTCGCGGGTTCGATTCCAGCCCGGAACAACTCTTTGTGTGATCTGTAGATTGTTATTCTGGGTCTGGGTGTCATGTGTATGTGAACTTGTATGGTTGGAAACGCACCCACGACACAGGAGATAATCCTAGTGAGGGGCAATATTAAAAAAAAAAATAAATATTGTTTAATGTGTAATTAATCTGATTGTAATATTTCACATATTTTATTAGTTTGGCAGGAATAAATCTTTATGCGAGTTTCACGTATACTGAATTAGTTGGATTGTTGATTTATGTCCAGAGTTATGTCAGGTTTTGTTCATAAATTCATCGCCTTAGTGGAATGGTGGAATATAAAATGGTCTTTCTGAATTTATAACGTTTAACTGCCAAGTAGGAAATCAGCAATCAAAGAATTAACTACATAACATAACATCACGCCTTTTATTCCCGAAGGGGTGTACATTATACCACTGTACAATGTAACACCCACATTTCACTAGTTATGTTATGAGTCCCATGTAATAGGGGGTGAGCCTATTGCAATATACCGGGCATAATTCCAGACTCCGTGCTCCTACTGAGGATTTTAAAACCCAGTAATACTTCGCCCGACCCAGCGAACTCGAGACCCCTTGCCCGGCAGTCGCACTTGCGACCACTCGGCCAGCGAGGCAGTCGAAAGAATTGAATGGTTTATATTTCATAAATTTGTATTAATAATTTCAGAATACAATTGACTCTGCATCGATCAAGGAGAACACGGCGCGGATCGCTCAAATGCAGGTACGAAAGGTACAGCAACACATGATCTACATATTACTTACAACCCAGTACGACTTCAGTGAGCTATTTAATAGAAAACTTGTAAAATCTACATTTGTAGTGCAGTTTTTAGCTGTATTTAATATTTGTATATCCGGGAATGTAAATAAATAAGAGTAAATATTATTAACATTGTAGTTAACATTGTGTATTTTGTGTAAAATAGATTCGTACACGTTTAGTTCTTACTCAAAAAGTAAGTGTTTAGTAGTTATATACGTACAGTGCGTACAGATAGATGTGATGAATAATAATAACAACTCATTGTATAGCATAGCGAATGTGTGTAATTGCGATCGATGCAATCGACTGTTCAATACAATAAAATATTAAAAAATAATCACACTTTCATTAATTGATTTTATGACCAACTTAATTGTAGTATTTTTCCAGTAAACTTTTAAGATAAAAGTACACTGTTTGACGGTAAAAAACGTAACGTCACAATACACAATCTCGTAAAAAATTCATAGGAAACTATAGTTGTTGACAGTTTGAAAAAAGTATTAAATTTGACTATTTACTAAGTACTCAATCATACATATTCGCTAAGATACTTAAACTAGATTTCTTAATGGAAATGTTACCTATAAAATAAGTACATAGCACACACATGAACCACCACGTGTACATCGAGTAACGTGGCCGTGGCCCCCGCAGGTGGCGAGCACGACGCGGCCCAGCAGCGCGGCCCCCAAGCTGGAGCCGCGGTCGCGCACGCTGACGGGCGGCGCGCGCCGGGCGCAGGCCTACGACGCGCCCCCACCGCAGCCCCCCAAACTGTCGCCGCCACATGACGCGCCCAGGTAATTAATAATAATAATAACCTTTATTGTACACCTTAAATAAATAGAATACACATTAGCGTTATAATAAAAATAGTAGGGTACAAAGGCGGCCTTATCACTAATAGCGATCTCTACCAGGCAACTAGGTAATTCTACTTGTTATATCGTTATTTTACTTACGGGAGAAAAGTTGGCAGTGAGACATATATGTAACTGTCTTACATAAATGTCTAAATTACCTAATAGTCATTTATACAGAAAGAACAGTAGTAGTGCATTGTCGAGATATAGAAATGAGACACTTTTTCTACACAGAAATTTGTTAAAACTGTCATAAAGATCCGAATTTGTGTAATCATTGACTATTACTTAGGTCAGCTATACTTTTAACCACAAACTACATGATATTTACATAAGGATACACAAAAGTCAATGACGGGTTAGAAACAAAGTGGGGTATACTTTGTACACACTTGTTTCGCTTTCAATAAGTGTTACATTTGTTGCGACTTGCATTATTAGGAGTATTAGACCTTATACGAAAGTGGCGCCATCTAGGTAAAACAAACTCGTTGCGTCGTTGATCAGGAGCTTGGGTTACTGCACACCTTCCTTTCTTTCCTGCTTCTCCTTCACAGTCTTTATAAATTCCTTCAGCACTAATCCCAGAATTATATACTCCATATCTCCTCCAACACCGTTTGTACCTTAACCCTTGGTGTGACAGTCCAAAATTATACATTTTATGAATTACTTAACTATGTACGTTTTGTACTGTGATAATAAAGTATTTGTCAATATGTTTGTCCTGTCATTATATGTGGTTAATTGTCTCATTATAAAAATCTGTGTTTTTCTGTGAATTTCCCCTTTAAAGTCATCAAAAGTAAAGTAAAATCATATCTTATGTAACATTTTATATATAATTATGTATGTATCCTTGTATATATCCGATATATATGTATACGCGCATGAGAAGGGACTAACAGCATGCTTGACCGACACATAAAACAGTGCCCCGGCGGCCGAGACTAAAAACGGCACGGGGAGTGCTACCAACGGGGCGACTTCTACCACGGGCACTACGGCCGGGGCGAAGACCCATGTGAAAAGTGCGTCGATATCGTCCGCCAGTGGTGCTCCGCCCCTCGGGGCTGACGCTCAGCCCCACAACGCGTCCGCAAGGGACCTCGCGCAGCCGCGCCCGAGGTACAACCCGCCGCCGCATAGCTTGTCGCTGGTTCACTACCCCGTCATGTCCTACGACTGTGTGTGCCCGGGATTATATCATGAAACAGTTTTTTATATACTATTACATTAGTTGCATAGTAAACTAGCCTATAAGACTAGTCATTGTTATCGAGACTGGTAATTATTATCAAGATTGTCCCGTCGATCTTATTACTATGAATATGAGACCAACAGACAAATATCGATATCAGGGCAATTTAACTGAACTTATCTTACTGTGATTTATAAAGGCAAAGCTCTCCACTAAAGAGTAGGGACATTAAATAAATCATTAAGTTTTCGGCCTATGTCACACGAAAGTAGGAATATTTTTATTTTTAAATACTGTGGAAAAAAGCTAACTCTACAAAGACTAGTGGTTTTTGACATCTATACTAATATTATAAAGCTGAAGAGTTTGTTTGTTTGTTTGTTTGAACGCGCTAATCTCCGAAACTACTAGTGAATTAATAAAATTACGTTTCTTACGAATGTAATTCCGGGCACACAGCTTTGAAGGAACATTACGGGTATCAAGCTTCGGTTCTCCAGTTGGGTTTTGTTTGGTTCGGCTTGCAGCTAGTAAATCTAGTAGTTTTTGTTATAATTCCAACGAATTTTCTTTTTTTTTTGTGTTTTTCTCGTTAGATTTTTGTTTTTTCTCTGAGAGAAGAAATCGCAGTATCCGCGTTTTTCACATGATCGCAGATTTCGCTTTGCAGTTTACAAATGGCGAGTTTTGGTTGTACACGACGCTTTTTTTTAAATCGATTTTTTTTGTTATATTTTGTTTTCGTTTTTTTTTTCTATGCTTTAATCAGCTTAAACGCAGCACTAATCTAAAGGCTATTTTGCTGGTTGGAGTATTCACCTTTTTTGTTTTTTCGCACTGTTAACTATTTTTTTCCTATTTATTTATGGGTTATTTTTTATATTTTTGTGTTCATTAATACCTTATGTATTATAGTATGTTTTTAATGTTAGCGGTAGTGGTAGTTTGTTATAATATTATTTTTATTAATACCTATAATTATTTATAGTATAAAGTATATGTGCATATTAAATACTTTTTCTTTGTTTTTATTATCTATAATATTATTTTTATATATCCCTATTTTTTTACGTAAATTGCACTGTATTTTTGTTTGTTTTTTCGAACACAATAGTAGAGGTAGTCCGTGAATTTTTTTAGTGTATTTTCGTTATTATTTTTTTAATTTTATACTTGTTTTTTATTTCAGCCTGAACTCGCAAGTGTCGACTGGCGGTGGTGCGACGGGCGCGCGGAGGGAGTTCCCCAACCCCCTCGTGTTCCCCAGGAATGTACCCTCGCGGTCCACCTTCCACTCAGGTAAGGAAATGAACAAACAAACACAAATCTACAATTTTCAGATGCCTAACGCACTGTTTGATTGCGTCATCATTTTCGGGGAATACTCTCTGGAAACGGTAATACATTAAAAAAACTACATATTTTTTGTATTGCAATAAAAAACTGGCATAGCAGGCAAGTATACAAGTAGCCTACAGCTCTTCTAGAATGGTCTATTAAAGAAATATAAATAAATGCTATTCGTTTTTGCATGTTGTGGTTAAACTACAGCGCATCGTTTATCTTCAGGCAGGCCATAAATATTGTTGCTCATAAAATTATTACGCCTTTTATCCCTGAAGGGGTAGGCAGTGGTTTACATTACTGACTTAATGCCAGTGTACAATGTAACACCTACTTTTATATGTAATAGTGGGTGAGCCTATTGCCATATAGCGGGCACATTTTCAGACTCCGTACTACTACTGAGATTTTTTTAATAAAAAAAAAGCTGTAATAGTTGCCTGACCCAGGAATCGAACCCGATACCCCTAGCCCAGTAGTCGCACTTGCGACCACTCGCCCAATAAGCGAGTAAAGAAAAAAACAAATAATCTTTTTCCCCTCCAGGTCAGAACCGCACGCGCGGTTCAAGCGGCGGCGCGTACGGTGACGGTGGCTCCCCGCACCAGGCGCGGCCATCTTTCTTCTCCAAGCTGTCCTCACGGTTCTCCAAACGGTCAGTCTCGCACTCACTCCCACTCGCACCACCGGGGACGGGACCACTACACATGGCTACTGTAACGATTGATTGCGACTTTTAGCTTCAAATTACCTACTTGAAATAATTAACGTTTAGTAACGTGATCATTCCCTCTCAATTGGGATGGTGACAGGGTATGATAATTAAAAATCTAATTAGTCCGTCAGTTAGATAATGAAAAAATATTAGATACGTATTTTTTATTTTGTTTTATAATAAAACAATACTTAGGAGTGGGGCTAAAACGTCATTTCTACGTATAAAATGTACATAAAAGTGACGTCACGCGACATTTCAAATCAATATATCGTCGAAAGTATTCGTTTCTGTAAGAAAATAAAAATTAGACATATGCCCTATTCTCACAAAGGATTATCTAAAAACGTTAGAACAAAATAAGACAAAAGTCGTCATTTATTCTTCGTGTTGACGTGAAAGATAAACCAACATATCGAATTATCGACGGTTGAAAGGCTAATTGATCTTAGCGACATTTCTTGCGATATTCAGTTAAATAAATATATGTTCGAAATCAGCGATTTTTCCTTGGTTGTGATGGAAGTATTTAACAATATCACAAATAAATGTCGCTTCGATCAATTATCCTTTCAACCGTCGATAATTCGATATATTTGTTTAACTTCTCGACGTTATCGTCAACAATATTGGTTACGATTGTAGTAATTTATCAAATAACATATTAAAATTTTAACAGCAATGTGATTCCAACATTGTCAACACTCAGATCTATTCAATACTAATATTATTCAATGCTAGTCAATTTTAAAATACAATTAAATCTACCATAACTCGTTACAGCAGCCATTTGATAGTCCACACCCATTTTAAAAACACGGGCCCATGTTAACTACCAATCACATCACACACACACACTACTCCATCTTGTAACTAACATAACATAACATACTGTATCGGTGGTGTAACATGTTATATTACTTTTCGTTATCGTTATATTACAGTCCCCATGAGCTACAGCTTGATGCTAGCCCGCTAGTAGACTTGGGAGTTTTCTAAAGGCATTTTTGTGTCATTTTAAATGAGCTGATTCGTCATGTTTCGACACGACTTCAAAAAATATAGTCTTTTTTAGTATATCTTGCTGTTATATGATGGTTTTTGACGAATTTGGGTGGTTAAAGGGAAAAAAATGAAAGGATTTTTTGGAAAATGACACAAAATTTGTCTTATAAACTCGCTGCCTCATGTCACCCGCTAAGCATCGATGTTAGCGATAGCTTCCACGCACACCTGTTTATTCACCCCCCATATTTCATTATTTCATATAATTATAGCTCTATATCATAATAGTATATTAAAATAGTGATCTTAGATGTTGGCGCCCAACAAGGGACTATTTTTTTTAGATTTTTTTGTAAAAAAAGGGTTGTGGAGTAAAGACTCGTGTTTAACAAATTGTTTTCTTATTCAAAGAATTATTTATTATTGAATAGTGATTTTGGAGCCATGTTTGATTATGTTTTATTGTGAATTTTGTTTACAGAAAAAAAAAAATTTTTTTTTTCATTCAGTCTCTTCGAGGTGATGTTAAATGTTTTTTGTCCCTTTTCTTATTTTTTTTTAAACATTTTTGTTGAAAATAACGTTTTTACTGTTTATATTAATTTTCTCTCGCTTGCATTAACAATTAAATAAAAAACACAATCAGACAAGCTCCAAGGTATCCGGTCACGTTCTACGTCTTTTTATTATTTAATAAATTATGTTGTTGTAAATAATTCTATAATACACCATAGGCACACTGTTTCTAACTTGTCACTATTAACCCATTCGTAATGTCTCGTCTGTGTGAATCATTATATGTGTTTATTTATCATTTTTTATTTTATTATTATTATTATTTCTTAAGATGAAATTGTCTCCCTCTAAAGATTCCGAGCTCTTTTTTATTTTTTATTTTTGATACTCGCGTCAACGCAGGGGATGCACGATGCTACCTACCTCCCGTTCGTCTCAATTCGCACTCAGTACCGGTCAACGCGCTCAAGTCCCCCCTCCCCCTTTTACCAAGTAGTTCTTAGACCAAAGCATGATGTACTCCCCTTTTTTTTCTTTAGTTTTTTTTATTGTTTTGCTAAACAAAAGTGTGTGCTAAGGCTACAGACATGCCTACATGCTTTGAGTGTTGTCAGTAGTGCTTTGTCGATAGAAAAAATTTAAAAATACTTTAAGTAAGTATACGGTTTGTGCCTCGTCGACATTGAGAGAGGTGTACGGAAAAAATATTAAAAAAAGAATAATAAATAATGTAGATGACATCTCTCGTGCATCCCCCGTTTGACGTTTATTTTTTTTTTTACCTAACCGTACGCTTCTACTAACGAACGTCGACGGTCGCGACCTCTACCGGTTTTTACGGTTTTTTCGCTTTTCTAGTCTATTCCACAACCCTTTGATTGCGACGTGACGGAATTTTATACGAATTTTTTTTGTTTTTTTTTCTGATAATCTTTTTTTTAACGGAGGGAGTTACGTTCAGTATTGTGCATCTTGTGTTGCGGCGCGAGAATTTATTCATTTATAGGATTGCCATTATTTTTGTGTATACAAACATTTATTGTGTGTTTTTGAAACGTCCTAACAAAAAAGCATTTTGCGAAAAATATATTTTGGATGTGATGTCAACATTGCAACATTGTTTGAACTGGCATGGCAATCCTAACGAGTGGCAGTTTAAAAAGAAAGTAATGTGCCAATAAAAGTGAGCCGGATCAGGAAGAGGGGGGTGATTCGACACACTATTGGTCGATTCGCTTACCCGTTCCGTTGTACGCAGGTTGAATCAGAATCCTTGAAACGTCGGCGGGAGTGGACGTGCTGGGAAGATTTAAAATAATATTAATTATTATAAATAAATTATAGGGAATTGTATACAGTACCGATTGCTCTATCAGCCGGTCGTTGGCCCATAGAGCTAGTATAATTATTCAGTGTATTAATAATAATTACTAACAAAATGTATCTTTTAATACTTGATCTTAATACTTTAAGTATTGAATGTGACTTGGTTTTTTTTCTTCTTTTTTTCTATATTGTAGAAAATATTTTCTTGATATTGAGGGCCTATTTTACAATGTCTTATTAACGTTTCCGTTTAGTTAACAATCGATAATTCGAAGCATTTTCCATAAGAAAATTATCAAAATATGTGTTTGTTGATGTAACAGAATAGCAACGTAATAGGACATTGTGAAATAAGTTCGTATTATTATTGTTTTGAATTTATTGGAGAATAAAATGGCGGTTTCTGTATTATACAACTACTTAATATTGCATATTACACAAGCTTTAAAAGACAACTTGTAGAAGAATGAGATGTAAGCAAGAAATATCTTGTCATCTTTTTTTATCAGAAGGACACAAAGGATAGACAAACTTTGTAGAATTTGTCTAGCTATAAAGTGCTCTCATTACCTGAACTGTCCTTGTTCATTCTAAGAGCCGTTTCTGCGAAACATTATCGTCAGCCATCTTGTTTTTCAGTAAATTCCAAACCTGAACTACTGAAGACTGTTTGAATAGATACTCAATACAAAATAATTATTAATGCACTGAATATAAGTAAAACAAGATGTTGTTTGTAAGTGTTAATCATTTTTTTTTTATATAATTGGCGTAACCGTGATGTTTCAAAGTTAATAGTTTACATATAAAATTTAAAAAATGAAAAGATTTGTAATCATTTATTATTTTGTCATTATGGAAAAGATAATAATCGCGACGACTTCTGTCTACACGTTATTTTATTGAAATTATTCTGATTTATAATATTTTTTTAAGTCTAGAAAAATAGGTATTAAAATTCTGTTTAATTTTTGTTTATTGATGTTATGTGCTAAAAATTCAGATGTTGGTAGTGAAATAATGTAAATAGAACTAAAGGAAGACTTAGCTAGATTCGACTTTGTAAGTAATTCCTACTTATTTTCAGAAACGCGATGCTATTACAAAAAGATATAGCATGGGAATTTTAACAACAGTGCACCTCTTTAGGTATTTACCTAGTGTATGTCTCGACAGTTTAGAATAACAAAATTAAGCGGTTGGTAGGACACTACGTATAAAGTCGTTAAGATTACCTCTATATACATTACATACTGCCAATGTCTATATACTCTATACAATATATATTTTCTTAAAATAATGTGTAGCGGATCACTAGTCCCGTCGCGGTATGCATTTCATCACTAGCTCATAAGAATTATAGATTTCTATTTTCGAGCGAATTTTTAACATTCCAGGGTTCCATATATGTATTTCGTTTTTTTTTTTCGCTTTCTTTTTTTATATTTAAGTTCACAAAAAAGCACAAATCTTGTTTCTTTTTTTTTATTAACTCTAAATTCTGAATTGTGTAGATCGTTAAATATTTCATTGACTGATACAATATTTTTTGTATATTTGTATTTCATATATGTTAAATGTATAGATAAATATTTCTGTAGTGAAAATCTCATTGTTGGGTTTCTATGTGGACCATGCAATTTATTGTTGATTGAAAAATGTTTCATGGAAACGCAGGAACTTTTGACATAGTGAATAAGTAGAGGGAAAATGAAAAAAAGGTTTAAAAAGAATTCCATCTATTAATTTGTTATTACGATACATTGAAATAACATTAATTAGTTAATCCATACAAAAAGGTTAGCCCTTGGATCGCTTTTCTTCCGCAAATTCACTGTTTTAAAAGCTTCTCGGTTGAATAATGTGCGTATAGAAACGATTATAATAATAATTAAATTTTTATAAAGGCACAACACAACTCAATGCCGTATCGAAATAAAATTCTATCAAAAACTACAAAGTACCTAATACTCTGTACCTATATTTTGAAAATTAAAATAAAACAATGGTCCACAACGCAATTATGATTATATTTAAGGCGTGAGTGAGTGAGATCGATATATTATTATATAATACTTTGTGTATAATATATATATTAATTCATAAAAATAGTATTTTTTAGCGGATAAGATACAGGATACAGACTTCGGTACAAACATTCAGTAGATGTTACCACAACGATCTTTCACGTTTAGGCAGCTATATTTTTAATTAAAAAGATAAATATTTTAAAACTGGAATGTAAGGGTTTTGTCCTATACAGCTTACCGTTTAGAAGTAGCGAATTTATCCGAAGAAAGTTTAAGTTACTTTTTGTACAAGGTGTAATATCAAGATTGCATTTAAAAGAATGGTTCGTGTAATCTTTATCATCATTATCATCAACAGTCTACAATCCCCACTGCTGAGCAAAGCCTCTTCTCACACGGAGAAGGTTTGAGCATTAATCGCCACGCTTGCTCAATGCGGTTTGGCGTTTTCAAATTTGTAATTAGATTTGTAATCTTTATAAAATGTCTAAATTTAAGAGACTATCCTTCATTTTATTTTACATTCAATTATTATGACATGTGACGTCTGTTATTCCAATAAATACGAATTTATAGTCGAAAAAACTTTGAAACATAGTTACAATGATTAACACATTTTACTTAAAATATCACTGTTAAATACACCTTGTACTGAAAAATACAATATTGTTACTGCACCTAAAAGTCCAATACTAAAATATTTTTACTAAAAATTAACAGTTTTTATACATTTCTCATAAATATTCCCATACTTTTGACTCATTAGTTCGTTCATACTATAGGATGTTTAAATATTTTTTGTAAATATTATAAAATAACATGATGAGTGCGAGTGTCGGCGTTTGAACATTTTTCTATAAAAAGTAAACTTTTCTATATTTCATGAGAAGTCCATTATATGTGGTAATTATAAGCGTATTCTAATTATATATATTAACTTTTCTATTATTTTATTTTTTCATTCAAAATGGGGTACTTGATTACGATGCTTTACACTGTATATAAGCGTTCTATATAGTTGTGAAGCGTTATTCGGCATTCATCCGCCGCTGCAACATACATACATACATTCTCATATCTATCTACATTTAAGGGCCGATTAGTACAAAAATATATTTAAAATATTGGCTATTTACCAAGACGCCCTTACACATTTTATATTATATAATAAAATTTTATAATACTACACGTTTTTCATAATAAAAGTGTTGCTGTCTTTCTAAATTGAGAAGAGTAAATGTTTTCTTACTTATAGGGTTGAAGAAATGTACAATTGTAGTAGTCTGGTACAGTCGTCGGCCCAGTATTTTGGACGTTAGATAGAATACTGAACAAATTATGTCAAAACTTAGGTGCTCTATAAGAAATAAACCCGTGTAAAAAGATACTTGTATTTTATTACTCTTTATTATTAATAAAAGAAAAATAATAGGAATATCGAAGTCCTCAATCGAAATGTAATACTCAAATGTATTATCCCACAATATTTTCAGACACATATTCTTAAAATAACATTAAATTACAAACAATAGCACTCTAATAATATTTTTGAGTACGACATGTAGTATATTTTGACATATAATTTAATATATAGATGAATAAATATATTATTGGATATATCTGAATAATATATGTACATTATATATCAATTTATAATTTTTACGCACACGAATAGTGCAGTTTTATTTCTGTGAACATGTTTTTTTATTTTATCTTTAAGCTATATGATTACTCTGTAACTGTTACACGAAATAGGAACAATGCAATACATTCTAACTTAGTTCGCTAAGCGTAGTTAGATATTTAATTTTAATACATTACAGCCGAGATTTTTTTTGTCTATTTTTCATCCTTTCTTTGCGTTTCAGACGACGAAATGTCACAAGTTTGAATGCACTGGGAAAATCATAACAAATTATGATAAATAACGTATAGAAAGTAACTCTAGTTTATTTATTTTTACGACTGTACCTAGTAGGTACTTTATAAAACTATTTTTTATCTTAGAGCTTTGCTCATCCCCTATGGGGGGCGTTTGTTTAAGTATATAATATGTATATTAATATTTTATCAGCCGTCCATGCTTTTATGTTTTCGCTGCATTTTCCCAGTACATTTAAATTGAAAGAAAATTATATTTAATTGGTATCGTAATACATAGTGTTCCAAATCATGGGCATTGATTTAAGATGCATTTAAGTAATGTGATCTTATAGTATTTGGGGTTTAGTAAAATTCAAAAATATTTCATACTATAGCATAGTAAAGAAATTAGTTAAAGTTTATATCAATAAAGAATGTTTTTGAATTATACAAACACTAAAGACTTTAATTATGTGAATTAAGTTGACCTATGTAATTGTACACATGTATTGAAGTGGATTCCTATTTTTTGTTTTGACAATACGCAATAAATGGATGTGTTATGCTTCTCCAAATAATCAAGTTTTTAATAACAATATTCGTTTTATTTTGTACCTCCGACATATATACAAACTCCCTGCATATACAGCCTTTTTATAAAATAATCGTTTAACATTCCGTCATGTCGCTAAATTATATTTTTTCAATTTATGATAGACTTTATAACGATAGCAATTTTTCTTAGATATATCTAAAATTATCATAGTGAAAAATCTATTTTAATATGACTAAATAGATATCTTAGGGACTTTTCATAATAAAATGGTAAAAATAAAAATGACATATAATAAACGGTAAGTATTATCGCAGACTGTCGGTATTGGGCGAGTCCACGGGGCGCGCCAAACCGCGTATTTTTTCCTCTCTGGACATCCAACGGAGGTAGGCCGCGAGGCAAACACCAAAACTTATGTTTTTCCAGTTTTTTTTTTTGTTTTTTCTCAAATTTTGGTGATTTCGGGAGCTATGTTTTTTGTGATATTGGTGTGGATAACAAAATGTCTAATTGTCTAAGTAAGAACTGATTTAATCTGTCAAACACCAAGCGGTCACCGGTGACCGCGACCTATTGTTCTTTAATTGTGTCTATAAAACCGGTACTCGACGAGTTAATTGTTTTCATATCACCAGTAAAACTAGAAAATGCTGAAGATATTTTTGATTTCATGAGCGGTGGAAATTAGATTATTCTTTTGCAGGTATTTTATTGGAAACACAGTCGGTCAATATAAAATCGGTTTTCCATGTAAAATCCATAGCAAGTCTGCACAAAAATGACTTAGATGAAAAAATAGGCACCAAAAAGTCACATTTACAAAAAAAAAACAATTCTCAATTATCTCGACGACAAAAATACTGCACATTGGGTAAAAATCATGTTCATTGAAACACAAATGCACTGTGCATAGATTTATTTTCATACACATTTTGTCATTTCGTTTCCACGCCAATATTCCTACATTGCTCCGCGATGGGTTCAAGAGTTTGTGTGTGTTTTAATACTGTAGTCCAGCCGATTTGTACTTACATTTTTAAACCACGAAAAGCATGACTTTACTTCTAAAAACAAAGAAAATGTCAAATTTTCAATTAAATACTTAAATACTGCATGTCAGGCTCAAAAATAATTATTTTTCTATCTTCTATTAGGTAGGTAGAGTTTTCTAATTTTAATATTTTTATCTATTTATCCGTAAAAAACAAAAAAAAAATATTTATTTATTTCCACAGTACTAAATTGGATGGATTACTAGTTTTTTTTTCGTCAATAACAATTTAATGACTTTTTTTCTTTGACTACTGACATTTTACTCGAAAACCTTTTTGCTAATCAATTATGCTGCCAATTTTTTTTTAAGATAACAATATTATTCTTTTTAATAAAGAAAATAATACAATCATTGCATGAAATCATAATTATATCTTAATTATAAATTATCACATTAATTTAGGCTGCATTTTAATTCATTAGTATATTAGGCATGGTTTTGCCTTTGTTTTCTGTATTTTTAGTGCCACCAAGGTAAGTATAAAAAGAAAATAGGAGACCATTTTTGAAAAATCGCGGGAATGCTTGATCTGTGCTCAATGTCGCTTGCCTAGTGTGCTTGTGTTTTTGATATTCCCTTTTCTTTCAAAATGCACTTCTGTTAACATTGGTAATATTTGTAATACTCTGGTATACGGAACCCAACCAGAAATGTAAAAAAAAAACTAAAAATTTTTTGGTCTGCCAAAAGCGACGACAGCGCCATTTTGAAAAGCTTATTTCTGTTTCTGGTCTGGATTGTATTAAAGTTTGCTTGTTTTTTAAGTCTACTATTGTTTTTTTTTACTTTTTAAGATCTGTCTGTTACAATGTGAGTTTATTGATACTATTCAACTTTTTAATTGAATATTTTTTTCTTACCAGCGTATAACAAATGTGCAATGTATGTATGTACTCGTCGCCACACCCTGTGCCCCTAGTATTTAGCATTAGTTTTATGTTTTTCTGTTTTTAGGCCTTTGGACGGTACAACCCCGAAGCATGCGGTAGGAGCTAGTCCACAAACCATGCTTGGGTAATTATCCTAGTTCATTTTTATCCTTTGTTTGTTGACTGTCCAGCTCTGAAGCGCTCTGTGTACCTCCTTCCTAATTTTTAGACGCAGTATGAAGATGTTTTTTGACATTTTGGCCGTCATAGATTTTTTGTTGAATGTTTTTTTTTCTAATTGTTATACGAGTTGTGTTGCTAATTTGTTGGCCCGGTTGTTTAAATAAGATCTGGTGGAGTTCTGTGAAAATAGTTTTGTCCAAAATATGTTTTTCACTATTTATTTTTGTCTTTTTCTTGTTTATTTCAACAACCGAGCGATCAACGCGCTTTCGTACTAACAGCGCTTCATTTTTCATTTTACTTACAACATTTTGAACTTAACATTCATAGCAATTGTTCATTTGAACTCTAGTTACTTTGCGAGATTTTTTTTAAAACTATACAGTTGGTTCGATATTATTATTTGAAAAGTTATTTATTTAAAGAACTAAGTACTACAAACGATTTTTTTTGTAATGTCTCTATTTCGTAGTTAAGCCCTGCGTAGCATGGCCAAAAGAAGCACATACCTATTCTATTATACCCACCAGGTGATATGTGATACTCGATCCATCCTGTAGTTTAGAATTTACGATTACATATTATTTCTTAATAGTATATTCCATAATTTAAACTTCAAAATTATTACACATTTATGTGTCGTGAATATTTTTCTTCTCTATTTTTCCGTTTTCAAAAGGCTTTGAAAAACTTCTGACATTACTTAATTGCAGAATTACCTATGAACCAATTTTTTTATAATATCCAAATCAATCGTAATAAACTGTAACGATCAAGTAAGAATTCTACAAAAAAAGTTTTTACACCTTTATTTAGTCTTTCGAGGAACAATAACAATTATTTGTAACTCGGTCATTGACCTTTTGAAGGTAACGTAGAAAAGTAAATAGCTATAGTAACAGGATTTTTTCCATGTAATTTTGTACTTCATCTAATGGTGTCTATACCACGCTATGTACAGGCAAGGAACCGGTAATGAGGAGCAGGTGAAACCACGCGTACTCCGATTTACGTGGAGTATGAAAACCACATCCTCACGCGATCCCAACGAAATCATGGCGGAGATCCGCAAGGTACGTAATTCAAAAATTAAATGTGACAAATATGCGTAATTTCACTCTATATAAGTGTATTTTAGCAATAAAGAACAATTTTGAGTCCCCAACTTCCCTAAAAAACTGTGTATCAAAGTTTATCGTTTATCATTTTTGTATTTGCCAGATGGTGCTTCTAGCGATTAAAGTTCTTAGCTTTAATATTATAGCTTTAATATTAATTAGAGTTTCTTGAACAAAAGTAGCCCCACTTTTTGATACTATTCTTTCATCCAGTATCGTTTAGTTTATTTGACATAATCATTTGATTATTTTTATATCATCCACACCAGGTACTTGACGCAAATAACTGCGACTACGAGCAGCGCGAGCGGTTCCTGTTACTGTGCGTACACGGAGACCCGAACGCGGACTCCCTCGTACAGTGGGAAATCGAGGTCTGCAAACTGCCGCGACTCTCGCTCAATGGAGTGCGGTTCAAGCGGATATCTGGTGAGTTATCGGAGAGCTGTGGATAGAAGTTGCAGAGTAGGGCTGCAGAGGAATGTTTATTATAATTTTGTGTTTGTTTGTCTTGCAGGCACCAGCATCGGCTTCAAGAATATTGCGTCTAAGATCGCAAACGAGCTCAAGCTGTGACTGCCCGCTCACCCCCCCCGGCGGCGGCGGCGGCGGCGGGCCGCCACGCCTCCCTCGCCCCCCTCCCCGCAGTCGCCCGCGTCGCCCCCGCGCTCGTCGTCGTCCCGCGACACGCCGCCGCCGCCGCCGCCGCCGCCGCCGCGCTCGGACTCGCTGCGCCTGTCGGCCGAGGACATGGTGCTCGTGGCCAACGGCGGCGCGCGCACCGCGTCCGGCGCGCTGGCGCACTTCCTGGCCGCCTACACGCCGGCCGAGCTGGCCCTGGCGCGCTCCGACTACCTGCGCGCGCCGCCCTCGCCCGCGCGCCCGCCGCCCACGGCGCCGCGCTCGGCGCTGTCGCTGCGCGCCGCCAGCGAGGAGCCGGCGCGCCTGCTGCGGCCGCCCGGCGCCGCCTACGGGGGATACACGGGCTACACGCACAGCGTGCACACTCTACGACGCCAGGGCCGCGCCCGCTCCCCCCCTTCCCCCCCTAACTTCGAGTTGAGCTGCGACTGCCTGCCCGTGGACCCCATCCCGCCGCCGGAGCTCTTCGACTTCTAGATCGACTCGCTTTCCTTCGAATTTTGTAAAAATTAACTGGCGCCACCGTCGCTTATGGCACGAGCCACGAGCTGGCCCGCTCGCCCTCGTAGCGTTACGAGTGATGCGTTTGACAATCATCTACTTATATTGTTATTCTTCGTCGAATCCTCATTCGTAACTGTATACATCGGAGGCCGAGCGAGTTGTTTGTGACATTGCAGAACAGAAGATGTTCTCTCGGAGATATAGAAGTAATGTAGTTCCCCCGAGCGAGGACGTACAGCTCGTGTTGTGAGCGCGCGTGGCGCCGCCTGACTCGAATTTGTATTATTATTCGATTTATATCGGAAGTGTCTGAGTATGACAGTGACGTGACGTGGCGTGACGTGACGTGACGTGACGTGACGCGGAGCGGGACAATATGTGCCAAGTGGTCAGCATAGTGCGTCGCCGAGGAATGATCTACATACTTAGTATACACTGCTCTCAGTTAGCGCATGTTTGTATAAATAATTTTACTCGTGTCATGGATTTTATTATTACATGATTGTTTTTTCTGTAGATAAGTCGGCCGTCTGTCCGTGTGTGCTGCGCGCTTTTTATTTAATTTATATTTGGAACTTTGTTTTATGAAATCGTGTTTTTTTAAAAGACATTATTTAATACTGCGCGCGGCACACCCGGCCAGGCCGCGTTATTGTGCTATCGCTTATATACTATTACATTATGTATTTTAATCGTTGTAATAATGTACAAAGTGAGTTTGAGCTCAACAGATACAATCTAGCTTAGTGTTAATTATATTTTTTTTTTTCATTTTCCAATATAACAAAATATAAATACAAAATATGGCTGTCTCTGAATAGCGATAAAATGTTTATATGTCATTGTAAGGGTCGTGCGGCCGTGGTGCGGTGACGGTACAGTGACGGTACAGTGACGGTACAGTGACGGCACGGTACGGCACGGTGACGACAGTGACGGCACGGTACGGCGCAGTGACGGCACGACGGCCCCACGACGGCGCGGCCGCCGCGGCCTCTCTTTCTAATTATAAGGCTGAATTAGAAAGTGTCAAAGTGTGGGAGCGCGTAGTAAGTTCACTTAAATCGTTAGACGTGTACGTTGTACGTTGTATTGTGATCGAGTATTACGGACTTGTAGTTGTAGCAATAATCGTTGAGGACGCTCGTCTCGCTCGTCTCACTGTCTCCGTGTGTAACAGCCTTTATATTGTGATTCACAAACCTTCGTTTTCGAATCGTGTGAAGCTTTCGTTTGATCATTTGTCGGTGTGTGGACTGCATACGTTAGTGATATTGTTATATGAAGTAGGTATGTCTGTCTGTGTGCCGGGCGGCCGCGGCTCACTTTTCTAATATATAATTAAGTGTAGTGTTATAACTTTTACATGGAATCACAAATTCTGACGTGTCGGCGGCGACTGTCGTGTTGTCTAAGCCAAATTGTTGAACGTTGGCGCCATGATGATACTTCGCTATATTATTGTTAATTAATTACTTACTTCAAATACAGTAGAAATTTATTTTGCTCAAATACAAATTATGTCCTTATTTAGGGTGGTCTATTACAAATCATACGACCCTATACACAAAGGCATGTAACAAATAAAGTTTCAAATGCAATCAAGTAATTTTTTATATAACGCTTTTATTTATTGTAGTAGTGAACAGTAGAATTAAATTAAATACAAAACGAACCGCAGATTACTTTAAATTAATGTTTTTAAAAGTAATTGTTAATATGAACTCGGTATATTAATATCGGGGGTAAAAAATCATGAAATACATACATATTACTTTTATTTTTACGAGATAATGCAATAGTGTTTATTAGAGGACGATGCGACCAGTTGTCCCGAAATACATAATACTATTTTAAATGTAGTTATATATTTATATATATATATATGAGCTTTGTTTTGTAATAATTTAGTGTAGTACATTTTGCCTGCGAGGTGGACGTGTCGAAGGATTTGTGAGGTATTCAAAATGAAAAATAAATTTTATTTTTAATTCCAAATGCTTGTTTGTTTTCTAATCCTATACTCCTCATATTTATTTAGCGTAAGAAATAAGCCTATAGTACATATTTGGCGTCAACTATATGACATATGACTAAAGATATAATATAATACTCTTGAATAAAATTCACAGAAAAGTGTTATAATTATTGTTTTTGATACTTCGTAAAAGATATGACTGCCTCTTTGACCGAGTGGTCGCAAGTGCGACTGCCGGGCAAGAGGTCTCGGGTTCGATTCCCCCGTCAGGCAAAGCATTACCGGGTTTTTAAAAAAACTCGGTAGTAGCACGGAGTCTGGAGTTGTGCCAGGTATATGGCAATAGGCTTACCCCCTATTACATGGGACTCATAAATAGTGGAAAGTCGGTGTTACATTTAATAGTGGCATTAAGTTCCGTAATGTGCACCTCTGCCTATCCCTTTGGGGATAAAACCGGTTGTGTTGCGGTTACAACCCGCATTTATACAATAATAAAAAATAGGTGATCCAAGACCTGTGATTCCCGAGCGTACGGCGCGTCGTGTTCCGCGCGCGCATCAAAGAGCCATCAGACCACCACGGATGGGGCCCAACAGGGGTGATGCCGATACGGAGTCGCAGAGAACCTAACGGATTCGCGGGGCTCCGGCTCGAGCAGGAGTAGGAACGAGGTGATTTTTAGTCAGTAAGAGTGTGACATTCCGTCTCGCCTGACCCGGGCCAGAGAAGTCATTGGGTAATTTTCCCCCCTAAAAAGACCTGTGAGATTAATATATAAAACGATTCGTGTTGATTACGTTTCACCACTACTTCCATTTTAAGTAATGAAAGTGAGTATTTAAGATTTAGTGATTATTAGCGTTTACCCGCGGCTTTGCCCGCATATTCCTGTTTAATCATGGGAGCATTTAATCAGTACCTAAAAACAGTATCCTCTCACCTAAGTCAGCCCATCCCCTGTATGGCCAAATTTCATCAAAATCCGTTCAGTTATTTCAGCGTGATTGACGGGCAAACAAACTTTTACTTTTATAATATTAGTGTGATTGTGATTAGATAAAAATGCCGTAGTATTTACGGATCTACAAAATAACATCACCTAAACTTGACCATTAGGCCAGTTTAAAACCTAAGAGTTTGGTAAAAACAGATACAGAAGAGGGGTTATTCACCCCTCTGTTCTGTTGGGAAAATATTCTATCATTTATACACCCCATTTCTATATCTATTCACCCCACGAATTCTATTCACCCCGTTTTACGGTACCTGTTGTTTTAAATTTACGTTTCATCTATCTGCATTCTACCTAATTAAGTACTTTGAACATTATAAAGTTGTGGCGTACCTAAGTACAAATCGAATTGACTACATGATTTGAAATGATACACTATATGTACATACATAACAGTAGATTTACGATTACGGTATTGAAAAATCAGTTGCAGTTTATTTTCGACTTTCATTTTTGTGTAGAAATTGCTAAAATCTAACAATAAATACGTGGGAGCTAGGTACATAAACAGTAAAAAGAATAAAATTTCAATTTCATTTAGGTATCATTTAATTTTTCAAATAATCAACACTTCTTATTCGTATCTAATATTTACATTGAGCTTACTTACTTACTAAAAATACAATAAATAATTTGAATAAAAGATTAAGGTACCATTTTGATCAAGTTAACATAAGTAAAAATTACTTTTTAAAATGTGAAAGATGGACATTATAAATAATCTCATTATGCATTTCAATCAACTTAAAATAGATAAAAACAGTAATAAGGTAAATTTATTAACTACTGAGTATATTGTTTTCATAGAAATAACATTAATACCTATAAAAGTAAAGTTAAGTACTAAAATTATGACACGCGTTTATTACTAAAGAAAATACTGAGAATTAAAACATTCCTAACAAATAAATTAGGTATTTTTACATAATATAGGTCTTCCAAGTTCATAAGTCTAGTCTAGAATTACTTAAAGCTAAAAATTGCATTTTATTATGCAAACAATCAATTCGTATAATAATCAACAAACAAGTTTTATGTCGTACAGACTCTCCTCATTAGGGAATTAAATCAAAACTCAATCTTGGCTGTATAATAGAGCAATAAATTACAATTTCATGTTACAGATAGTATTTAGATTTTAGCTAAAAAAAATTTAATTCATAACACCACAGACCACAGAATCCACAGATTACAATTATTATAAGTACAAAAAAATGGCGGGCTAACCAACTTATTTTTTTTTACCTCTACTATCACGGCAAAGGTACTTCAGACAACATTCTCCAAGGCCTATTTTCCGATTTCCAATTTTGAAATGGGCCTCAATTTGTTTTATAACAGTCCCATATCTAAAACTATATCACGCTTACGATTCCTTATGAATGGGCATGCCATCTAAATCAACCTCAGTGCTAGGTATTAAGGGAGGCCTAAACCCTCCGTATTCGATCCTTAAGTTACTAACTCTTGGTTCCCGATCCGCCCTCCTCATTTTGACTTCAACGACATAATCCTTATTATTCTGCCACCAATCATCTTGGTTTTTTGTTGGCACTGGACCATAGTATTGGTTCGATTTACTTTGTCCATTAGTTAAATATGATAAGTAACTAGATATTGGATTAGGTTTCTTTTCTTCTAATTTGTTACCTGATGTGTTGTTTATGTATTGGTATGAAGACGCGTATTGGTTGCCCCATTGGACTGAGTGTAAGGGAATCCTCTGTCTCTCTTTCAACAGCTGATGGTAAAACTGTGTAATAAATATTGGAGTTTTCTTATTTCTATCGTTTGTGTTGTACTGCGATTGGGCCGTTTGAGCGTTGTTCCTTGATTCGCTACCTTGGTTATTATACCCATAACGGAATACAGGTATTGGTACGTGTACCGGTTTTTCAACTATTTTTTCAACCGGGTATGGTACTTTAACTTCATATGGGACTTGGACCGGGTAAGGAACTTTCTTCTCGACGATTTTTTCGACTGGATACGGCACCTTTTTCTCGACTGGGTAAGGTTTGTCAACATATTTGGTAACCACAACCGGTTTTTCCACAATCTTCTCCACAACTTTCTCCACTGGGTAGGGAACTTCGACTGGGACTTTCTTTTCTACTATTCTATCTATGTGAACCGGGTAGGGAACTTTTTTCTCGACTATTCTTTCGACCGGGTAAGGTTGGGGAACATGAACTGGTACAGGAACGGGCTGAGGTACAGGCACTTGAATGTGAATCGGCTTGTCTACATACTTGGTGATTGTAACCGGTTTTTCAACAATCTTTTCAACCGGTACTGGGATTCGTTTCTCAACCGGGTATGGGACAGGAACTCTGGTTTCGTAATGAACTGGATATGGTACACGTTTTTCAACCGCGTAAGGTACAGGAACTTCTTTGTTAACTATTCTTTCAACTGGTTTCTCAATTTCTACCGGGACTGGTACGGGCCTGTCAAATGGAATCGGGTATAATATTTTATGTTCAATAGGCACTTGGATTTCATAGGGTATGCCAACCGGAGTGGGTATGGGAACCGGGTGTAATATTTGCTTCTCAACCACCTTTTCCACTGGGTAGGGAATATGTACGGGACGATCTACATACACCTTTTGTTCGACTGGATAAGGAACCTTAACTTCAACAGGATAAGGTCTAGGTACCTCAACTGGGTATGGTTTATCCACATATTTAGTAACTTCGACTGGTTTTTCAACAATTTTCTCAACAGGGACCTCCACTGGTACAGGCCTATCTACTGGTACTTTGATTTCAACGCGCTGTGGATATGGAACCTTCTTCTCAATTAATCTATCAACGAATTTGGTTATTGGTATCTCCTTTTCTATAATGATTGGTTGGATTATCTTAGAATTACCATTATCATTACCATACTGATAATATTGGTACTGTTCACTTCTTTGAATGTTACTGTTATCTTCATTAGGTCTTAATTCAACTTGAGATTGCATATTTTCACTTGATTCCAAAGGCTCTTTCTGTTCTTCATCTTTGTCATTACTCTCCTGACTATCCTCTTTCGTCGCACCGTACTTATAAAGCAGCTTGTTCATCTGCTCCTGTATCTTCTTGGATGATTTCAAAGCATCAACATACGTGTTATACAAATTCTTCGCTACATCCAAAGGTCCCTTGTTATTGCTTCGTCCTTTATCAAAATCTACATACTCATGTACTTCAACATCATTTATGTGAGTTATTTCAACTGGAATGGATTCTTGGATTTCAACGATGGTCTTTTCTTTCGGTGGGCTCCGTACTGTGTCTGATACTAATTCACTATCTGAAGCTTCATGATCATCTATAGTATTAAAAGATTCTGTGTCGTTAGCGTTCAGCAATCTTAAAGCTACAGTGATTGGTGCGAGATAGTTCTGATTAACTGGCCTTGGAGAAACGGTCGCAACTGCATCGTCTTCAACTTTGCTGTCATCTGTGTAAGCTTCTCTAGAACTATCGCTAACTCCTACTATTTGGTAACCATCTTCCATGTAAGGAACCATTGTAGACACGAGATTGTCGACTATCTGGTCTTTGAAGTTGTTATAAGAATTGTCTTGTACAATAATAGGAGTTGCAAAATCATATTTGTTGGAATTAGAATGTAAAACATTTTCTTTCTTTTGATCATCTTCTAAATGTTCAACTTCGCTTTTAAGTATGTTCTCAATTTTAGCTTTAATAGTAATATGTTTAGAATTACTATTCCCATTATTTCTCACGTAAAATCGTGCGCGTGGTTTGATTATTTCGTCAGACTGATCATTTATGTGTTTTTCTGCAGCATGATTGATGATAATCAAGTCTTCGTTAGTAATGAGGTCTTGGGTGGAAGCTACTAGTTTATCAATACCAACTTGAGTTGCATTTTCAGTTGGTGCTGTAGAAGGGGTCTCAGCGGTCGTGTAGTAGAATCTTTCACTGCGAGCATTATCGCGTGGAGTTTCAACCCTGAACTTGACAGCACCTCTGTAAAATGTACTAGGAGCATGGGTTGCTCCAAAATTATTAATATCTTGTATATCAAACGATGGGACTTCTTCAAATAGTTCTTTAGACTTTTCCAAATCATTTTGTAATTCTTCTGAAGTATCTTGATTAGAACAATTGTGGTTTTTAAAGACTTGTAGGACTTGGGGATGATACTCGTTGGGGTCCTCTTTGGTAAGAGGGCTCGAGTGTTCCCTTTGGGGGTCGTTGTACCGCAGTTGGTTATGGTCGTAGTTGGGGGTGGGTAGCACTGGGTTGTACTGCTGCTGGAGTAGGTAGATGTCGAGTGGTTGCTGGTTGGATGCTGGGGGCGCTGGTAGCTGGGTTATGTTCTGTATTTGCTTGTAGAGATTTTGTGCCTGTAATGAAATGTGTGTTGTGAATAAGTGATGGTAGGGAAGTATTAATCTATGTAACTACCCGGTTATTCTTTCTGTTTGCCCGGCAGTTGTGCTTACGACCACTCGACCAACGAGGCAGTCAGAAGTCCAATTGTCAGTAAAAAATTACTTTTAGATTATTTCAATTTCGAAACTTTGGTTTTAAAACCACACAATATTTGTTCTATCTTCGGATGAAAATCATACGGAAAAAGGCTTGAGCTCCTATTACAAAGCAAAGAGCTAGGTGCAACCTAACGCAACCAGCTTTCAATAGGCTTAGCAAATATTTATTCTGCGCAAAAAAAAAAACGAAAGTGCGATATGTAATATACACCCACAACTCTGCAACTTGTTTAGCGCAGTTTTTGCAAGTACTTTCAATTTCCTTCGGACTAGACAAACAGTTAAAGATATATCAAGAATGATTATGATAGATTTATTTGAATTTATGTGTGTAGGGTTCTATACAGACGGACCGGATTTCAACTGCAATCCAACCCCAAATTGCAGTTCAGATGAAAATAGGGAAATATATATATTTTCATATTTCAATTTCATATTTCCTATTTTGCAGTTGTAGCACGGAGTCTGGAATTGTGCCCGGTATATAGCAATAAGCTCACCCCCTATTACATGGGACTCATAACATAAATAGTGAAAAGTGGGTGTTACATTGTATAGTGGCATTAAGTGCCGCAATGTCCGCCTCCAGGAATAAAAGGCGTGTTGATGATGTAATTTTTTAATACATGGAATCGAAGATGAATTTACAATATTGTAATTACTATTTCCGCGAAACCTGTCAGTTACTCTACGCCTAAGATAATATCACACCTATAGATCCCCGCTCCCATATTTTACCAAATACGATACGAATCCAATACGGGTAATAGGAACAAATCCTAAACCTATTTTTATGATAATTAAATACAGACCTGCTGGTTTAAATCCTCAGCTTGCTGCCTGACAGCTGCATTAGCGGACTGAGCGTGATTGTTGACAGTGGGTGCAGTTTGGTATCCACCACCATTGGGCCCGTACCTCACTTGCTGTTCAGACTGGAAGCAGAAGATTGCATGATAGAAAGTATTATTATTTATTTAACTGTGGTTTGACTGTGGGGTCGAGTCTCTTGGCATTACAATTTAATGAACTTAAAAATATTATGTTACAGGTGTTCAAACTTATTATATAATGTTGGAGATTTCTCCTTCTCGGGGTTGACCCGGTGAAAATGGGCAAAATGGTAATAGCAAAACTTATTATATTATTATTATTGATATTATATTTTATTGTAGGCACACAAGCAACAGAGGATTGTATTCATATCACTTTAGGTACACCAAATCGTCGTGACTTTACCCTTCTGAACTCATAGTTCACTCAGTCTAGGTATACACCCTCTACATAAAAGGGTAGGTCCTAAGTCTCAAGTTTGGATACCGCAGTTTACAATATTCAGATTTATCAGGGATGCTGTCCGGTCTTATATTAGAACATTAGTTGGCTTCAACATACCCAGGGGAAGAGTGGCGGTGGTAATTTTATGTGCACCTTTGCCTAGCTTTTTTGGAGTTGATACTATTATACAATTACCTGTGGTAGCTTGACGTAATAATGTCCAATGGTAGAGGCCTGTCCCAGCGGCGACAGCTGCCATCCCCAACCGAATGCAGCGCCATCTTGTGTCACTTGCTGTAAACAAACAAACACAATTATACATTAAAATGTTAGAACATTGACAATTACAATACCCATTAGTAGTCATCTTTATCCGGAGCTGCGGACAACCTAGCGGTTAACCGGAGCTCCGGTTTGAAGCGGGAATAGGAACAAGGAGGTTTTTAGTCAGTTGAAGAATGACAATCTTTCGCCTCATCTAATGCATGATTGGCGCGGTGGCTGGGCAACTGGCTGCCACACAACGTGTCGCGGTTTCGATTCCCGCACGGAATTCTCTTTGTATGATCTATAGATTGTTGTTCCCGGTCTGGGTGTTATGTTTAGTACCTATTGGTAACTGTCTCTATAATAATAGAGAATCGGTAAAGCGCGCACATAACGTGAATCGAATCCAGCCCTCATATAAACTTCAACTTACATAAGACTACATCTACTTACACTTAAAAACAAAGACTACACCAATACAATACAATATCAATTCCCCTTCAAACAATACAATACAATTTAATAACAACGATTAATAAGAAAATAATAACAACCTACATGATCCACTTCCGTTCATATGAACCAGTGAACTGAGAAACCGGATATGACGTAATTGCGTAATAGTGCCTGACATAACGGAAGAAAGTTCGTTATAATAGGTATAATTAATCGTTAAACCTTCGTTTAGAATTAGGTGTTAACCGCGGGCGATGGACCGTTTAACGAAGTATAAATCACTTATACACATCTTGTGTAATAACTCGTTTTAACTGTTACAGTTAAAAATCTGTAATCTTTAAATTGTTATGCGATCTCTTTATTACATGTCATAACATAAGATTAAGCTTTTATTTAATCGAAGGGCTGTGTTAAGATTAATTTACATAACTAATAAATGTTAAGTGAAAATTATTTTTGTCGGAATGCTTGACGTTTTGCAAAAGAGTTGAATGAACTATAGTATCTAATAATGTTTAATGTATTGTTTCTATCAATTGTATATTCATTGAGTAGTGTAGTTGGATTTTTGTACAGTTCTATTCGTATAAATAAATAAATAAAATAAAGGACTACATACAGTCTCCGGTAACCTCACTTACACGACGAAACACAACGCAAGCGCTGCTTCACGTCGCGTCGGTTTTCTGTGAGGTCGTGGTATCACTCCAGTCGAGCTAGCCTCTTCGTGCTGAACCATGGCTCTCCTCATAACACTGTTTATGTTACCCCAAACACTATTTATGTTATGACTCCCATGTAATAGGGGTGAGCGTTTTGCCAAATACCGGGCACAATTCTAGACTCCGTACTACTTATGAAAATTTACTAATAAACTCAGTACTTAAATACTTTTGTCCGATTCGCGAATCGAACCCGACACACCTTGTCCGGTAGTCGCACTTGCGACCACTTGGCCAACGAGGCAGACACTCAATTATGTTATGAGTTCCATGTCATAGGGGGTGAGCCTATTGGCATACACCGGGCACAATTCCAGACTCCGTACTACTATTTACGAGAATTTACTAATAAACTCAGTCAATACTTTTGTCCGATTCGCAAATCGAACTTGAGACCCCATGCCCGGCAGACGCATTTGCGACCATGCTGTCTACATTAGGCCCAAACGACGACTAACTATACTAGATCTGAAACCCATACCAAATCAATCTCAAAACATAATTTAAAATAATACGGAGCCAATCCCATAAGACTTCACTCTTAAAGAATTAATATGTTTCTAATAAAAACTAAAGGTAAAGCCACTTTCGTTTGATGTGGTTTTTTCCAGTCCGTCCACTTTCCCAAGCCCAGCTCGATGTGTCCACACATGGGCAGGGCTGGGGAATGCTCTTCCGTGGTACTCGCATGGTAATATAGAAAGGTATGCTGGCTGCACTATAAGGAAGGAAGGAAGGAGTAAATTGATTGGGAATTTGTAGGTAATGCGAGCCAAGACTGGAATTTGTCTTTATAGTTGTCACTTGGTCAATTGGGTACAATTGCCAAGTAGTTTCTCCAAATTCAATACTTTTTTAGAACTGTCAAAAACGACAGTTTTCTATGAATTTTGTACGAAATTTGTACTGTGACGTGCGTTACCTATGGTCGTCACGTTTTCTTAGCGTCAAATAGCATACTTATTTCTTAAAAATTTGCAGTAAAATATTTTAATTAAGTTGTTTATAAAATCAAATAATGTAAATGTGATTATTTTTTAATGTTTTATTGTATTGAACAGTCCAAACAATTTAGTTTTTAATAAGGAAAGTAGGTACTCAATTGTTGCGTTAGATTTTTGCGTTACCACGAATAAGTCAAGGAATATATTCGTGCCATAAAAGACATAAGCGCAATGACATTGTTATACCAAAATCATTGCCAATTAAAGACTTTTATGATATTAATAATTAGGTAGCTCATAATAATGTTTAGTTACAGCCAAATCGGGAATAAAAGCATTAACTTAAAGTTAAGTATGGGAGAGTCATCCTTCGGCACGAATGAGCCGACCGGAGTGTTCGGAGTGGAACCATACAAAATCGACCACGGCTGAGCAGATAACCGACGTGAAACAACGCTTGCGTTGTATTTCGTCGTGTGAGTGGAGTTACCGGAGGCCCAATTACCCCTCCCCCCTCTCCTTAGTCTCCCCAATCCCCGACCCCCACAATTCTCAAAATCCCAATACCCAGAAAGCCGGTAACGCCTCTGGTGTTTCAGGTGTCCATGGGCGGCGCCGATTGCTTACCATCAGGTGATCAGTCTGGTATAACATGAAAAAAATCTCATAATTTGCGTTCACTCATCTTACAACGCGTTAATAAAACCAGTACTTAATTACATCATAATATTTACATTACATTTCAACCGAAAATAACCTATCAAATAACTGCGGTTACAATCGCAATATCGCAATACTATCTCATCTTACTTCGACCGCATTACATCTTACAAATATTATGTAACAATTAAAACCGGCCATATTGTCGTAACAGGTCATTGAGTATCAAATACTCGATGGTTTAATATCAAATAAATACTTCATTCTTGTACTATTATAAACGTTGCATAACGCATACCTCAAATAACGTACAGTAACTTCGAAGTGTACCTAATTGTACGGCATTTATATAGGTATATAATTCATTTAAGGGAAATGGACAGTTATGTGTATGTGATGTGCGTTTATGAAATTTTAATTCCCAGTTGCACTTGCGACCACTCGGCCAACGAGGTAGTAGCTTTACACTAAAAATGATAAAATAAAAATAACGTTTAAAAACCGTATTAAAAAAACCAGCAACTTTTTTTTATTTATTTATCATATTTACAGTAAGCCCCCTTACGCACTAGCGGTTGACCGCCTAGGCGGTTCGTATTAACAGACGCGGTTGCCATAGCGATTTTTTTATGGCATAAGCTGGTAAACGAGCTGACGGATCACCTGATGGTAAGCAATCGGCGTCGCCCATGGACACCTGGAACACCAGAGACGTTACAAATGCGTCACCGACCTTTTGGGGATTAGGAGTTTGAGAATTGGGGAGATTGGGGAAGGGGAAGGTAATTGGGCCTCCGGTAACCTCACTCACACGACGAAACACAACGCAAGCGTTGCTTCACGTCGGTTTTCTGTGAGGCCATGGTATCACTCCGGTCGAGCCGGCCCATCAGTCGTGCCGAAGCATGGCTCTCCCACACTTATTAAATTGGAATATGGTTGCATATTAAATTGGAAAAGCGGTCAACCGCAGGGAGCGGCTAGCCGCGCGGTTTAACGCTAGTGCGTAAGGTAAAGTACAGGATTATCAATTTAAAATAGCAACCAAAATTCACAAAAAGTGAAAACAAAAAGTAAAAACTGAGAAGCAAAAAATAACTATTATTAGTACTGATTTTCATTTCATTTATTCATTAAACAATGTATGTACATTGTATCTGAATGGCTTCACAATCGTAAATTACATTGAATACTGCAACTGAATATTATATCGTATCAGTTCTGATGCTAAACTCTACCTACCCTTATAAATAAATAAATTTGTGTTTGTTTTTTATTCCATGTTTTTAGTGCACCCGAAATTTTACACACAGAAAACCAACGTGAAACAACGCTTGCGTTGAATTTCGTCGTGTGAGTGAGGTTACCACAGGCCCAATTACCCCTCCCTAGTCCCCGTATCCCGAATCCACGAATCCTCCACAATCCTCAAATTCCCAATTCCCAAAAGGCCGGTAGCGCACTTGTAACGCCTTGGTGTTTCGAGTGTCCATGGGCGACGCCGATTGCTTACCATCAGGTGATCCATCAGCTCGATTACCGGCTTATGCTATAAAAAAAATTCGCTGCCATACAAAATCGACGTTTTTTATCTTTCTAAATCTGAAAGCTTCTAGAGGAGAATTGAGAGATCACAAAACTACTAGAATAGAGGAAACAGTGCTTTAGGAATACGAAGTCGTAAGAAAACATCACTCAAATAGCTACCTAACTAGAGAATTGATTGCCTATCTATCGTTACATAAGCAACGAATACATAGTTGAAACTTTAATACATAGTCCAACATATATACATAGATTTAGTAATGACTTCCCCGTACTCTATGTAAGTGGTAAATTATTTTGATGGACGGCTGGAAGTGTAGCTGTGATGGCTCAATGGCGCATCGGCTCATTGATTTAAACATTAATTTATTGAGCTTGTTACTGCTTCCTAGGTAAGTGTTTTATTGTTAAGGGCCAGAACTCTCAGTAGTTGCACTGAGTCTGGAATTATGCCCGGTATATGGCAATAGGCTCACCCCCTATTACATGGGACTCATAACATAAATAGTAAAAAGTGGTTGTTACATTGTACAGTGACATAATGTGCACCTCTGCCTACCCCTTCGAGGATAATAGGATTGTTATGATGTTAAGAGCCAATTGTTCCAACGCGAAATAAATTTTAATTGAGGAATAACTTTGAACACACGGAATATAGAATACATATTATATTCTATATTCCGTGTTTGAACATTTGACAATTCTTCCATACTATAACAACTGACAGATGTCAATTTTATTCTACAGTTAAGAATTATTAATTACTGATGATTGAAAAATCGGCCCTAAAAGTCTGTTTCTGTATAACCTAGCTATATATTTAAATGTACCAAAAATCTATTACTATAAAATTAAATATCGTAGTCTATTATGAGTCTTATGGCTTGAAACTAGTCGAGTTCCTAGTCAAACAGTTCAGGTGCTTACAGTTTAAGTGTGGGGGAGCCATGCTTTGCCACGAATGGGCCGGCTCGACCGGAGTGATGCCGACAGAAAAACGACGTGAAGCAACGCTCGCGTTGTGTTTCGTCGTGTAAGTGAGGTTACGCAGAGGCCCAAATACCCCCTCCCTTCCCCAATCTCCCCAATTATCCCCCAACAAATATGTATATCATATCGTGCAACGTGTCGCAGGTTCGATTCCCGCACGGAGCAACTCTTTGTATGATCCACAAATTGTTGTTTCAGGTCTGGGTGTCATGTGTATGTGGACTTGTATATTTGTAAACGCACACACGATACAGTGAAGTGTGAAGTGACAAAATCCTAGTGTGTGGCAACGTCTTTTTTTAAATAATAAAAGAAACAAGAATACGCGGGCAAAAACACGGGTAAAAACTAGTCTAGAATTATAATTATTAGATCAATTTATTGATGTTGTATCTGTAATACTCTTAGCAAATGTTGTTATATAAAATATTAATATCAAAATGTAAACATTGCTATTATACTTTTAGAGGTACATAAATGCACTTATTTAACCCGTTACCACGATATCATATAGATATAGTATTTGTATACCAACATATTACATAATATGTGGGCGAGATAAACAGCTACCAACTTCCGGCAGTGAAAGGCTTCGATACAGCATGGCTGCTGTTTCCTGTTGGGACCTTAATAAAATGGGAGAACAAAACAAAAAGTTACATTTCTATCATTTGTTTGTGTTTGTTTATCAATTCGAAATAATGTGAGTTAATGCTGTTGATGATGGTTTTATATCTAGTATGCTTGACAACTGCCCATAACATAACATAACATCACGCCTTTTATCCCCGAAGGGGTAGGTAGAGGTGTACATTATGCCACTGTACAATGTAACACCCACATTTTACTATTTATGATAAGAGTCCCATGTAATAGGGGCTGAGCCTATTGCCACATACCGGGCACATTTCCAGACTCCGTGCTACTACTGAGAATTTATAAAATCCCAGTAATACTTTACTGCTGCTGATGATTATTATGAGCCCCTGGCGTAGCTCGAAACTAAACGAGTTGCCTTATCGCACATATACAAAAGTATGTTTTTAGTACCTATATTAACATTAATTAATAGTGTGTACCTAACACACTTCGTATTTAAGATTTGACGTGTATCAAGTACCAATTCGTTAAAATTGAACTTCTGGGACACAGTTATCTTTATCTCATTTTAATATAGAAAACTAATCTGAAAAATTAAAGCAGTTCACCCGACACCCATTATATATTACACTAGCTGTTACCCGCGACTTTGTCCGCGTAGAATATGAATATTAGGACATTACCTTTTTCAAAATAAAAGTAGTTACCGTATGTTAGTCCTCAGTAAATCAGCTACCTGCCATTAGAATTCCCATCAAAATCGGTCCAACCCTTCCAGAGATTAACCAGGACAATTATACAGATAAAAATTATAAAATATCTTATTTTGGTAGGTATGTGTATCGTGTGTATATTCATATATTATGGTTGCAGTAAAAAGCGGTATTCTTTGTGTGCGTAAGGTAGGTACTAGGTTCCTCCTACTAGTGTCAGACTTTTACTGACCACCATGATTCCACTCCTGCTCTGTCGTGGTGACTAACTGACGGCCTTGCTAGGCCCCGTCTGTGCCTATTACAGACAGAAACTCCAATTTTATTTATCTATAGCTAACATCATACCTTTTAAGCCCCGATAGTAGACTTGCACGAATTATAATTTTAGAAATTCTGAGTCAACCTAGGTACTACAATACCTAGGTAAAACTTTACAAACCTATTCCTATAGTTTTTTTTTTTTAAGGGGGGAAAATCATCGAGAGAGACTCTTATTGACTAAAAACCACCCCGTTCCTTCTCCTGCACGTCGAGCCGGAGCCCCGGTAACCCGTCAGGTTCTCCGCGACATTCCTATAGTTTAGGGCTCGTACACAAAACTGCGATGCCATACGAATTCGCAACGCAAAAAATTACGATGCGAATTGCTGCGATGCGATTTCGTGCGACAAGGCGTCTCCCAGGGTGACCATTCCTTCGACGACCGTCAACCGTACTAAACGTATTTTGAATTGAAAACTAGGTCGTGGCATGGATCGTAAAAAGAAGTGTGCACTTCTGTTATTACTTAGGAGATACAGGAAAAAGAAACAAAGAAGATTTTGGGAAGATAAGATTTTGATGCGCGATGCGATTCAATTCGCAAGTTCTTGCGATGCGTAGAGGGAGCTCGCACATTTTCGCGATGCGACGTCGCATCGTAGTTTTGTGTACCAGCCCTAAACTCTAGACTAGACTTTCTCCCAGGAAGACATTTAGACATTCCTCACTAAATGAAAGTCTCTGTAGTTCATTTTCATACAATGAATGAATGAAACCTGTTCTCATTCATTCTTTCACTGTGCAGTGAACATTGTGTATATAATGCTGTTGATTATGTAAGAGGCTGGGCAGATGTCTAGGTTTCAATTTGATAATTTCCTGTATCCTTTTTGCAGAGAAATTAAAGGCACTGTTTATGTTTTATCTGCAACTAGCTACTGCCATCTGCTTGTAATGAAAAGTAGCCTGTGTGGTATTCCATAACATAAATTACTTCTGTGCCACATCTCTATCCCTTCAGCCGTATTGAGTTACAAACAACGACGTAAACAGACAAACTCACTAAATTTTGCTTTTATAATATTAAGTATAATTAATACATAGTCTATCCTAAGCAGAGGAGCCGCGGTTGACTTAACGGGTTACCGGGACTCCGGCTCGAAGTGCAGGAGTAGGGACGGGGTGGTTTTTAGTCAGTAAAAGTCTGATACTCCGTCCCGCCTCGCTTTAGCTGAAGAAGTCATTCGATAATGTTCCCCCTTTTAAAAAATTTAATCCTAAGCAGAGGCTAGCTAAGAATTTCCTGCCCGAAGGAAAATATTAATATATAGTTCCTTTAGTATGAATGTACTCACCGTATTTGCGTGTTGTGACCGAACTGATACAGCACAGATACAAAACGCCAACCACAACCGGACCCACTGCAAAATATAAAAATTACATTATTGACTGCAATATTATACAATTTTTAATTGAAATAATTAAATAAATACCTAAATTATTATACTAATGCCCGAATACTGAAACGTTACTCAATTTTAAGTCGCGCTTAAGCATAGTTCTGTCTCTACAAACTCTTTGAAAAATGACAGAGACAGCATGATATTTAAGCATGTCTTAAAATTGAGTAACGTTTCATTTCAGTTTTTAAATAATCGCGGGTTACTCTCGTGAAAATATTAAGAAAAGCTCTACTGGTTTCGCAGCGATGTCGCGCAGCCTACTTTGCTCACGACCGCGCACGCTGCTCATGAGGAAGAGCCCCTCTGTGGCTCGAAACTAGTAGAGCTTTTCTCAGTATGTTCACGTGAGTGATTCCGCGATTTTTAGTTAATAAAAATAATTATTATACTGATAATTTCTTCATTAGTCCACAACTCGCGACTATCGAACAATGTCTAACCTACATTTCAATTCAGCGTTTGGGAAAAATATTAGAACGCTTGTAGACGTCCGTTTTTTCACCAGATAACGGATCGTATTGTTTACCGGATGCGTGATGATCTAATGGCTTTATCATGACGTCAGTCCGGCGGATTATTTGTGTTAAAGCCTTAATATGTCCTTTAATATCGAAATCGTCATAATTAATTAACTGTATTAACAATGCATTTTGAAATAGTGCACAGTAGTCAGTACACCTCTGCTTTCGGAAATATTCAATCCTTATCCTTACTAATATTATAAATCTGAAAGTGAGTTTGTTTGTTTGTTTGTTTGTTCCACCTTCACGCCGTAACTACTCAACCGATTGCTTTGAATTTTTGCAGACGTAAAGTTAGAAGTCCGGATTAAATAATAGGGTACTTTTTAACCCGGAAAAATTGATATTCCCGAGGAATAACAAAAGTATTGGTATAGATGACGCTGTGTGTACTGGTATATGTCACATAGGCTACTTTTTATTCTTTTGTGACGCGAGCGAAGCCGCAGGTAACAGCTAGTTAAAATAAATCTACAAACGCATCTTCGTACTATAATTGTGACTAATTTGTATTATTATGACTAACTAGCGACCCGCCCCAGCTTCGCGCGAGTGCAATATGCACGTATTATACATATAAACCTTCCTTAAGCATCACTCTATTTATTTAAAAAAGCCGCATCAAAATCCTTTGCGTAGTTTTAAAGATCTAAGCATACATAGGGACAGACAGACGGCGGATAGCGACTTTGTTTTATATTAGGTAGTGATTAATATATCTGTGGTAGTGATATTAACTTTCATGGCTAATTACTTGGATACAATTATCGTACTGACAAGCTAATCAGTCAGTCAATCAGTCATCAGTCAAGACGCATATGAGTATGAACCTTGCACTTTTTCATATCAAGCCTATTCTATTGTTATACTATTTCTCTATACTATTTCCCCTGCACACATGATTACATGGGTACTTATGTATGTCGGTCTATATAACAACAGTAAGAAATTAGCTTCCGTACAATTTCCGTAGTTCTTATCTCTTTGAATAGAAGTAATGACATGTTGTCTATTTCGGAGCTGTACTTTTTTTTTTAAGTCATTTCATTTATTCAACAGTAGGCACACAGATACAATAAAATACAAAATTAAAAAAGAAAAGAACAAATAAATACACTTATTTATACACACACACACACACATATTTCACTACCACCGGCGTGACTGGTTGCGTCGCTATGGTGTCCCGGTGAAAAATAACCCTTATTGTGTAGGTACTTAGGTAGGAATCTACTATAATGTAAACTATAGTGTTAATAATGTTTATGGTTATCGATCAATGAAAAAGCGTATCGTGTACTTACTCAACCATTTGCCAAACGAAGTCAGGGAAGAGAGAAATAAATTTAAGACTAAATTAAAAAAAATATCTGTTTAGCACACTACCATAACTATATGTATTTAAAATTTATTATAACCATTATCTTTTTTTTTTTTTTTTTTTAATAAAACGTTGCCCCACATTAGGATTTTCTCCTGTGTCGTGGGTGCGTTTACAAACATACAAGTTCACATACACAATGACACCCAGACCCGAAACAACAATTTGTGGATCACACAAAGTGTTGTCCCGTGCGGGAATCGAACCCGCGACACGTTGCACGGCAGCCGGTTGCCCAGCCACCGCACCAACCGTGCAGTCAAATTTTTTTTTTTTCATCATTATAAGTAGTAATTTAAATATAGAAGATCCAACAGTCAACTTATATATAATTCTTCTGTGAGTGTGTATGTCACTGAACTTCTCTCAAACGACTAGACCGATTTTGATGATTTTTTTTTGTGTGTGTTCAAGAGGTTTGGAATGGTTTAGATTCACAAATCAGCCCGGCAGATGGCGCTGTAGTCGTTGTTTAGGTTATTTATGCTAAACAGCTGAACTAATTTGAATGAATTTTTGTTTATACATCCAAGAGGATATGCAGGACAACGTCTGTTGGGTCCGCTAGTATTATATAAATCTCAAGATTTGGACGTGTTTTGTCTTAGTTAAAATACACGTTAACATTTTGGTACATAAAAGCATAAACGATAAAATCATAAAGAATTATGCCGTCCTAAAAAATTAGTTAATTGTAAAAATATATCTTACCATATTGCTCGATGTTGTCCGTATCAAATATTTAGAGTCCTACTCGTCTTCTCTTGAAAACTGAAAACAAAGAAAATCAAAATTACTGATCGGATTGCTCGCAAAGAATTGTTCGTTACAGAATCAATGCCGTGACACGTTACACGGTAGGTCTCGGGTTTGATCCCCGGGTCGAGCAAAGTATAATAGGTTTTGAAAAAAAATCTCAGTAGTAGCACGGAGCCTGGAATTGTGCCCAGTAAATGGCAAAAGGCTAACCCCCTATTACATGGGACTCATAACCTAAATAGTGAAAAGTGGGTGTTACATTTAACAGAGGCATTAAGTGCCGTAATGTACACCTCTGCCTTCACCTTCGGGCATAAAAGGCGTGATGTTATTATATTATGCAGAATGCGAAATGAAATAAAATGTTAAATCACATTTACCGTAAACATGCGACATAGGTAATCAGAACCATTTGCTATGGTTTGTAATGTTAAATGAATATTTAAGTGACTCTTTAGTCGAGTGGGGAATGGTCGTTAGAGCTAATCTGCCGAGCAAGAGGCTCTTAATTCGATTAGTACCCAGTTACGTCGACAGTGGCATAATGTGCACCTCTGTCTACCTCTTCGAGGCTAAAAGCCGTGATGTTATGTTATGGTATGTTATGTAAAATTGGTTGTTAATTTCGACCTTAAGAACAACTTAAATAAACCTTTCACTGTCTGATCCCTTTAGAAAAGAACATCTGTGAAGTTACATATATATTATTAAACATGAATTTCAAGTATACAGAGCTGTTACAGTGTATACTGTGTACTGTGTACTGTACAGAGACAATGTGATACAATTTACTAAAGCCTTGCTCTCACTACTTTCCAATCTAGAGATGGTTTAAGGGATAAGCAGAGATGCAGGTATCTAGAATACGTGACTGTATTATTGTGGAGAAAGATTAATGATTTAGTTTTGTTTTAAGTATTTAATTGCTGAACTGCTTCGATAGTCGAGTGGTCGTACGACTGTTTTGTAAGTAGTACTGGGTTCAATTCGTTGGTCCGGTATTGGTGAATTTGTTGATATTTTCTGCTTATAATGGTAAAACTACTTTCTGCCTCAGTTGCTCATTGGCCAAGTGGTCGCAACGCAAGTGCGACTGCCGGGCAAGGGGTCTCGGGTTCGATTCCCGGGTCGAGCAAAGTTTTACTGGATTTTTCAAAAACATTCACAGTAGTAGCATGGAGTCTGGCATTGTGCCCGGTATATCGCAATAGGCTCAGCTCACCTCATGGAAAAGTGGGTGTTACATTGTACAGTGGCGTAATGTCACCTCTGCCTAAGTGCCTACCCCTTCGGGCATAAAAGGCGTGATGTTATGTTATGTATTTTCCTTCTTTATAGTCACTTAAGGGGCCAGTAGAATATCAGCACAAGGCCTTGTCTTGCACATGCTGAACTGGTCCCATTTCACCACAGACTTGAGACATGAACATGTATCCATCAGTATCTACCAATAGAATAACATACCTGTACATGCCACTTGTTTTTTAGCGTAAAATAAAGGTTTTTCTTTCTTTCATCTATATAGGTTAACTAAATATCTAAATAGGTTTAACGGCTTGACGAAAATTATTGTAACCAACTTTATTTGTAGGTATTTTGGAGTTATTATAAAAGCAACAGTGAATCTGGAATTTTAATGTTCTCCCAGTCACCTTGACCTAGACTATACAGAAGGATTTTTATCGAAGGGCCTTTATTATTTACTAGCGACCCGCCCCAGCTTCGCACGGGTGCAATATGCATGTATTATACATATAAACCTTCATAACAATCACTCTATCTATTAAAAAAACCGCATCAAAATCCGTTGCGTAGTTTTAAAGATCTAAGCATACATAGGGACGGACAGACGGCGGATAGTGACTTTGTTTTATCTATGTAGTGATTTATTTATTAATTCTTTAATGCACTCAAAAGTGAGGTATATAAGGTGGACTTATTGCTATACTAGCTTTTACCCGCGGCTTCGCTCGCGTCACAAAAGGATAAGAAGTAGCCTATGTGATATATACCAATACACACAGCGCCATCTATACCAATACTTTTGTTTTCCCTCGGGAATATTTATTTTTCCGGGATAAAAAGTACCCTATTATTTAATCCGGACTTCGAACTTTACGTCAGCAAAAATTCAAAACAATCGGTTTAGTAGTTACGGCGTGAAAGCGGAACAAACAAACAAACAAACTCACTTTCTGATTTATAATATTATAGTAAGGAAGTAAGGATGGCAGTTACTCCCAGTCAACCACTAATTAGCTATAACTATCGTATCACTAGGTCGCTATATTCTCATGACTTATAATGCAGTAAAATGCTTTTACTAGACAGTCCCTTGGCGCAGGTGCGACAGTTGCCAGCCCACATTCACTACCACCGACATACTATACATATATGTCGTGCCTAGCGCCCTATATGTTTGTTGTACCTACTTGTATTTACTATCTTATCCAACTAAAGGCCGGTTCATCAATCATTAAGAATAAAATTGACATTTGACAGTGTTTAGTATGAAAGAATTGTCAAATATTGAAAGTTATCCTTCAGTCATAGTTTATATAGCATTGGAAAATCGGCCCTAAGTCATATATTTAGTTTTTATAGCACTTTGTTAGAGCAAAAATAACAAAAAAACTACAGCCTATAAGTAACCACGCTTTTTTAAAAGGGGAAAATCATCAAATGACTTCTCCCGCCTGGGTGAGGCGGGAGGAAGTGTCAGACTCTTACTGACTAAGAACCACCTCGTTCCTACTCCTGCCATTTGAGCCAGAGCCCCGGCAACCCGTTAAGTCCTCCGCGCCTCCGTATCGGCATCAGCCCCATCCGTTGAGGCGAGCGTGGACCGCTTGAGCTTTCCTCACCACGCTTGCTCAATACACGTGTTAATTTCAAAATAATTAGATAATCTCTAAGCCCAGATTTCTATATTTTCTTTCATATTTTATCAGTGGGATCTGAATAATCTTAGAAAGTAAATATAACTCGGTATTAGTCACATTGGTACTTGCCGTAGATAGGTTTCGAATTCGCACCCTCATGTATGAGAAGCGGGCGTCTTAAACCTCCGGGCCACTACGACTAGATATTTACAAATAATGAAGTGTAAATGACTCAATGAATTCAGTATAATTGCTCAATAAATTGTGAAGATGTTGATAAATTGGATATACTGTAATGTGAACATGACAGTTATGGTCTTATTATGGTCCTAACGTCTGTTGGACATGATATGGTCAATGTTCGAGAAGTTATGTAGTTTTTAGAACTAATAAATAAATGATATTTATGCTTGTTATCTTTGGAGGATGGGTAGAATTTTCATGATGCAGTTTTCTCACTAAAAATTATATTCGTTAAGACAATGTAATAGAAAATATAGAGGGTAACTGATCGGTATTATAAGAGTAGTATTTAAGTTAAATAAGATTTGTTAAATATATTTAAGGGATGATCGGTCTGTCATGGTCTTTGTGTGACCAAAAGATCCTAAATTAGTACAGATAATAAAAAAGGGTGTGTCGTGGTGGCGCCCGCTTTTCATGCATGAGAGTGCGAGTTCGAAACCTACCAACGGCAAGCACCAATGTGACTTTTTCCAAGTTATATATACTTTCTAAGATTATTTAGACACCACTAACAAACGGTGAAGGAAAACATCGTGAGGAAACCTGGGGTTATAATTTCTAATTACAAGTTTGAAATCACCAACCCGCATTGAGCAAGCGTGGTGATTAATGCTCTAACCTTCTTCGTGTGAGAAGAGGCTTTGCCCAACAGTGGGCATTTATAGACTGTTGATGATGAATAAAAAAGGTTGTTTGTTCGGCGTTGTGCGCCGGGTAATTTAGAGGCAGACTTTTAAATAAAACTCGTGTTCAATTCAATGGCAAAACGTGTAATCCTTGTCCCTCAAAAATGTAACGGCCTAAAGTGTCCCAGAGTTAAAATTAAAACCATAGACGGTCAATGGCGACCAAAGACAATACCAATATTCCCGTTACAATACTAAAAGTGGGTCCCATACATTGACTATGCATGCATATCTACTGATAGCGGGACGCCACAGGTGTATTAACTGTATAACACAACATAATGTCACGGCTTTTAATCTCTGAAAGGATAGGCAGGACCTATATAGACACATAGAACTCATATCAATTGCACTTGCGAAAATTTGACCAATGGGGGCTATATATTTTATAGATACCATTATAAATAACGTTGGCAACGAAACAGTGAGATTTATAACGAATTCCCTTTCCTATTTATCTTTTATTTACAATCAGAACGAAAGATCAATAAATAACTAAAACGTCGAAGTTATCGGTTTGTGTCAAAGATAGATAAGAACTGTTAATTATGAGAAATGTTATGATTGGAGATTAAAGTCTTGTTATTTATAGATTGTGATTTTTAGCATTTTCTTACTTATTGGCGTCAATACGATTGAGTGTCTCGTTGGCCCAGTGTGGTCGCAAGTGCGACTGCCGGACAAGAGGTCTCGGGATCGGGCAAAGTATTACTTTTTAAAAATTCTTAGTAGTAGCACGGAGTGTGGAATTGTGCCCGGTATATGGCAATAGGCTCACCCCCTATTACATGGGACTCATAACATTAATAGTCAAAAGTGGGTGTGTGTGCATTATACAGTGGCATTAAGTGCCGTAATGTGTACCTCTGCCTACTCCTCCGAGGATAAAAGGCGTGATGTTGTTATGTTAATTAGGAACATTGCGCCGGGAATTCTTATATAAAACGAATTTACGGTATAATGTGTATCTATGCTCATGCCCTATTTTTTTTAGAGGTGAAAATCATCCTATGACTTCTCCCGCCTGGGTGAGGCGGGAGGGAGTGTCAGACTCTTACTGACTAAAAACCACGCCGTTCCTACTCCTGCACTTCGAGCCGGAGCCCCGGCAACCCGTTAAGTCTTCCGCGGCTCCGTATCG